CATTGATTGTTGTTTTCATGTAATTCAAACGAAGCGTACATAGCAGTTTTCAAAATGATATTATCGTTTACTAAATAATGGATAACGACCTAATTCGCTAGCTATAGATTGCTGCAGTACAAATACTTTGTTTCACTCCTAATATAGATTTACAGAATTTAAGATGTAATCGCTCTATATCCTTTGATTTAGAAAATCCCCAAACAGCACTAGAATAGCTGAGCACATCAAACAACATTTTTTTTTACAGAGCGGACAAAAACGCGTCCATTCTTGTCACGTGACCATGATACACATGCTATATGTTAATGTGTGCTTGCCGGATATTATAAAAGGTTCATGAATTATTAAAACATCTTACTTTATTCCATTGAATTTAGTTGTTTGTGTTACTTATGGTGTTAAAATGACGTCGACCTTTTCGTATAATTATTATATAAGATTGTTTTAATGTGACATGCTTTGATAAGGAAACTTCAAACAATATTTCTGCATCATTTACTTATTGTTTAAGCTGTATTCCATACAAGTCTTCTGCGGAAATGTCATTTCTATTCCTTTTTGTGTGTTGCCTGTAATTTTCTCGCACTGTGATGACTAAGATATTGAATTAATATAAATGGTCTGTAATTTTTTATCAGTTAATACCCTCTTCTTTATATATTCTAACTGACAACGTTACGCATGGACGAACATATTGAAAATGAACACGATCCTATATGTTCATATAAAAAAATAAGGGATCTTAAAGTAATTTAGGATCAGTACGGATAAGCCCACGACCTGCGATATAGCTAACTGAATCGAAAAAGAAAGGATGCCAGTGAACAAATGACTTACAAAGTTTGAAAAGTGTACAACACTAAAAAACGTTGCTCTTTTTTTTCTACGTTAGAAACGGTATTCAATGGAATTTTTCTTATGTAAGGTAACAAATTATATTCCCTTTAGGAAGGAAAAGAACTTGTTATTTTCTAAAGAAAATCTTTATATATATATACCAGTATGTTTTCTTGTGAAGGAATAAAAAAGATTAGAAGATTGAGATATCTTAAAACCAAATAATTACTTAAACTCGTCGATTTGTATACATTTCAAGTCTTATAAGAAGATGAGGGATGGTGGGGGATATGCGGCTCAAGTATCTTCCTCTGTTTCATCCTTTCTGGCGTCATTACCATGTTTCTTTATAGGGCAATGATAAGCCTTAATGAACATGAAATTTAAATAATCATAATCACAATGTAGTTGGAACAAGAAGTATCTTAAAAGATACACGGATTAAGTGATACTTTTTTTACTTGCAAAGATTTTTACAGAGTTTTGTTTTAGATCTAGACAAGATATGTTTCTAAAGGAAATTGTCATCTTGCACCTTATTTGGTGTTTTTGTGTATGAACATGCGTTTCGTGAATCGTGAGCGTTATCAGTGGTTGTCCCGTTATTTGGGACAAAAAGTCAGTCCGTCTGAGATCGGTTTGACTTCCTGTAAAATTTTCAGGGAAGAACTGCATATAAGATGGATTTTCATTGGTCATTTTAAATTGCAAACTGAAATTCGAATTTCATTAGCCATTCTAAAATTAGCATAATAATCTAAAGGATCATTCTAAACGTATACACGTCCAAATTATATTAAGGAGTATCGGAAACACATTTTCTTCTTAAATTTCTTGGATATTTGAGATCTCGGTGAACTTTCTCCCAACAAATATTTTACACTGACCGAGTTGTTCAAAACATTGGTTAAAATTAACCAATGGATAGCTTATCCACTGGTTAAATCCTTAACCAGCGGCTAGCTATCCAGTGGATAAAATTTCATTGTTCGACAGTTGGATATTACCCTCGCTACCTAACCAATGGATTGCCTATTTATCCACTGGTTACGGTACCTCGCGAAAGTACCACAACTAAAACAGGGGTGTTAGTGTTCTGGAAACAAAATGGCCGATTTATTGATAAATAATAAATATAGGAGAGTCAGGAAGCTCCCAAAGACTTAATTTTGCATGTTTTGTGCTTTCATGTTTTGGGGATTAATCAAAATGTATATCAAAGGCTTTAAAGTATTGGTAGATAATTTTTCCCATAGAAAAAAAATCAAAACATTTTTTTCCAAATTTTGAATTGAAAAAATTACTTCCATTAGATGGGTTTTTATGTTCTAACTAAGAAAATGAGTATTTGACATGTGTATGTTTTATAAAAGAATATAAAAGTTATGACTGTTTAACTGAATTTTCTGAACTACAACAACAACAAATTTAGATTGAAAAAGGGTTCTTAAAGCACTTTTCAGACATGTTTCAATTTTATCCCATGCATTTCATATGAACTATTCTAGTTAAGAAAAAGTAAGCATATATTTGTAAGAAAAATCTAGTTTTAAGCAAGTTTTATTGATTTTTACTGTTTTAATGATGATGGCTAACCTCTGGTTAAGGGCATTATCCGGTGGTCATAGGACTGGTTAAAGTTAACCACTGGATAATGCATTTTATCCATTGGATAAGTTTTGAGCAACAAAATTTATCCAACAGACAAAATTTAAAGTTACATTAAATAAATATGTAAAAATATTTTGACGTCGGCCTAATAACCAAGCATTCTACTGTTTTATTAACCTTTTTAACAGCATTGTTGTAAATCTCACAAATATTGTTCATAAATTTACGATTTTAAAAACGGAAACCCCACGGCAAACACTAAAGTTCGTATACGAATTTTAACATGGCAAATGAAAGACTTTAATCAGTTCATGATGTGCTGCACGTCACAGTGTTATAGTTGCTATACAAAACACAGCAGACAAAATACGAGATTTTCATTGCATACACACTTTAACCGTTTTACCTTCACGGTGCACTTGGCATGGCCGTTCAGGAAAGAGTAATCATCTCAAAAAATATTAAATTTGTATGAAAACACCGTTTCAATGCGTAAATATACCGTTATATTAGGACTGCTATTATAGCCATGTTTGTTGATTTAATATTGATGTACGGATGACCCGAAGGGCGGAGTTTCTCATGCAAATTCCGATTTCGCCACAATGAGGTCCAGAATTGATGTTATGCTTATAAAAACTCCATTTTGGTTGCCTTGGAGCACCATAATAAGAATCTGGAGTCGACATGAAACCAAATTTTTACTAATGAATTGTCGCTATTTCTGTTTTTAAGAAATTCATTTAATGTAGCTTTAACCAGCGGATAATGAATTTAACCACTTGTTAACACTAACCAATGTTTTGAACAACCAGATCGGTGAATATCTTATTCAACATAAGTTACCGCGTTATAAATGATATTCTTTAAATTTACGAGATGACTTTAAATTTTAAAGTCCACCCAAACTCGGAAAAGATTTCATTGATACCCCAAAGACCCCTGCCAAAATTTTTCAGTTTTAAATTTGTCCGTTATCTTTTCCAAAAAAAACTTTTTTGTTTTAATACATATAAAAACAAAAGCAAAAATTTAATTTAAAAGCCCTCTAGTGACAAAAAACTCTTTTAAAAATCTCTAAATTTCCCTTTCATATGCGGGCCATTTCTCTTTAGGGGAAAAACCAAATTTTAAAAATATTTTTCAAAAAATAAGGGGAAAAATTCATTGGAAAAAAATTTAAAGAGAATTTTTCCAAATTTAAAAAACTATTTAAAACATTTATTTTAAAGTTAAAATTACAATGCACAAATTTTCTTTAAAAAATTTTCACATTTGTCCCCAAATTTATTTTAAAGTAGATCAGACCCCTTTCCCGAAATTAAAATATTTTTCAGGGGAAAAAACAAAAAATTTCAAACCCCTTTTTTTTATGAAAATAAAATTTACCCTTAAAATCATTTTTATAAAATTTTGTTTTAAAGGGCAACGTCGAAAATGTCCCCTGCGAATTTCATTTTTGAAACCCAAATCTCCCTGCCCAAATTTATTGGGTGGTTAAAACCCCCGAGTGAAATATAAAAATTTAAAAAAAACCACTTTATGAAAACCCTTTGTATTTATTTAAAAAAAACTTAACCCTTTCTTTTTTTATTATTTTAAAATTTTTTGTTTGAAATTTATTTCTACTACAAAATTTTTAAAAGGGAGAAAAAAACAACAAAAAACAACAAAAACAAACCCCAATCAGCCCGAGTAAATTTATAAACTTTTTATAGTCCACATTTTATAAAGGGTAGAAAATTCAATTATTGATATCCAAAGTAAGACTATTTTTTTAAAATTATGGGGGATAGGGGACCAAAAATTTTTAATTACTTCTCCCCAAGTTTGTTTCCTTAAATTGGGTTTTTGTAAAAAACGTCATTAAAAAAAAACCCTTTTTACAGCTTTTTTTTAAACTTCCATTTTTTTCAGTTTTTGCCCCCTTTTTTTTTCCCCCCAACTGAAGCAATTTTCTAGGTTTAACTTTAGGCATTTGAAAATTTTTCATTTTTTTTTTGTTTTTGACATTCTTTTCCTTTCCTGTCACATTCTTTGTCTCTATGCCTTAAGATGATACAGACCCCAAGGTTCAGCGTATCGCCAAGGTTAGTTACAGTCGTGTTGGCGATGATTAGGAACATGGGAACGTTCTTGTCAAAGAACAACCAGATGCTGAAGACTGCGCATGTGAACCATTGAATGAAAAAAGCCAAAACAAACAATGACATATTTCTCGCAGCATAACGGGACTTGTCTGTAACACTAGAAGTCTTAAATGACTCAGTCACTCCAGCAACATGTTCCTTTATCCGCTTTCCATGTTAAGATATATAAGATGATGTTAGCAGAAATTATAATTAGTAGAGGGACGGTCGTAAACAGAAATTTGTGTTATGCCGCCTTTGATTGGATCAAAACCACAGCTGTAATAATAAAAAACAATAAACAATGCTCTAACTGAATAAAAAAGAATAATACATAAATATGATATGGACTGTTAAACAATTGTATTTTGTGTTCTAAAATCAGTTACAAATCGCCATGTTAAAAAATGAAGTAACTTACTATGTCCCATTTGGTCCAAGTTGGCCTCCGAGCACAGCTCCTATTTGGGCCAACAAAGGTACTCCGAATGCCCAAACCAACAACTTCCAATCCAGACGTCCAAAGTTTAAGTTCTTGTTGAAGTACATCATCATATATACATTGATAGCAACAATGTTTACTAACAAGTGCTGGGCATTGACAAATATCATCTGACCAAAACTGTACAACTCGCATAATTCTTTTGGTCGGGGATGATCCTTTCCAATAAAGTAGTGTAAATGGTCTATTCCGTGAAATAAGTTGAAGAAACCGTCACATATTGCAAGGTATACAATGAAACGTTCCTTCTTAGCACGCGAGAAGAACAATTTACGGTTTTTGTCAGAAAATGACAAGACCATGACAATGACCACCGAACACAGGCTGATCGCGATACTGGCTAATGCTGAAATATGGATGATGTTAAAAGAACCGTCCTTCAAGCCAAACACTGGTAAGTCATATCCACATTTTAGTGGATAAATATCCTCCGAGGAAGCTGTCGTATTATTCATTATTATCTTACTATTCTGTTATATTAGATTGATAATGTTGAACTGAGAAACTTCAATTTTTGATTATATTGTTTCTGTGTTTCAGGTACGTGGTTCACTACATGCATGCAGATGACACTTGATATCAAGCCTTTTTTTTTCTTCAAAATTTTCCTTGTGTTACTAACAATTTGTTATAGTCCTTTGTACATTTATGATATTTTACCAGAAAATTTTACAATTTCCTATGTTGTCTTCTCTTCCGAAATTAATAATTCGTACGAGACAGAAAGTGAAATGTTAGGAAACTCACACCAGCAGTCGCTTTTAATATAAGAGGTATGTGCTAACGTTAACCTATAGCTATCAAGATTTTTGATTTATCGATTATACTTACCAATGAACAACGTCTGGCGTTATCACTATGCATCGATAAAAACAGAGAAAGCGAAACATATTAGCAAATTATAATTAAAGTATCACGTGAATTTCAGAAATTACTTTATTTTATTAACAATAATCATCTTTTAAATGTAACGTTATCTTAGTAGGTAAAGTTAAATAGCAAAATGGATTTTGTCTCTTTCACATAAACTTTTTTAGACAATAAATTTAATCTGCACTGCCTCAAGGGAATAGAACATGCGTGGTCTCTTAATCCAGGTGATCTCTAATGAGGGATAATGAGATTTGTCTGATCTTTTTTATTATTGTTTTGTTGTTGGGAGTTATAATAATCAAGTAGACTACACAAAATAGTGATATAACACAAACACCTGTATATTCTACAAGATGTAAATTTATTCTGCTAAAACCCCTGACATCGAGACGCTGGTTATGGTTATACTGAGCATACACAATATGTATATACAGCTGACAGCTGTTATTAATACACTTATCACTTGATAACCACTGTTAAGAGCAAGAAAATCTAATTTTCATTTGCATCTATAACCAATTTTTATTACCTTTTCTTTCTTAGATTAAAACATATAAGAATATAAATGAATTGCTTTTACAAATGCTAAATACATTTAGCTGATAGATTTTTCTTAGATTATTTTTCATCCCGGCTATATAACTCGAACCGTTTGAAAGATTTAACTTTGAAACTTCATTGGTAGTTATCCCAGCTTTGTACTTCTTGGGGTTATTACCTTTTGGTGTGTTAAATGCCAATAAGTGCAAATGAACTATATTCTATTAATTTTAACTTTTATCATGTTTGGCGGGAAATTGGCAGATGTGTCTTTAAATTAAGAGACCATTTTCAGATATTTGAAAATTTGAGTGATAAATGCCACCTATATTTGTGAATTTTATTGAAGCATTCAAAATGATTTTTTTTTTCAATCAATTAATCTGCATAAGGAAAATATGTTTTTGTTAGTTAAATGCATTTAGGGAGTTTACACTTTAATTCAGTATGCATAGTTTAATTATAGTGTAACCTCTGTTTAGTAAGAAAATAATCACTGTTATTCTTAAAGTAAAAATGTACTAAGTTGTATTTCAAGAAAATTATTAAATATGATTTTTATGACCTGCAAAATTACTCTTCATTAAAGTACAAATGAAAATACATTTAAATTATTCTGTAGTGCAAACATGTTATTCACCTTCAGGCATAATCAAAATGCCATTCATGATCGGGCTAATGCAACAATATCAATTTAACCGCGTATGGTTTCCATTCATCTGTTTCTGTAGAAATTATATCAATTAATAAGAGACTTGGTTCAGAGAAAATGGTTTTGGTGACCGTATTGTATTATATTTGTTAACTATATGTATGTGTGAGAGGAGACATTTCTAAAAATAATTTTATTTATCAAAATGTTGGTGTAATTTGAATTTGACATGGAGGTAACGTATTTAATTTTAGCTCTTCCTTCTTAACGTCTCTGCCTTCTTTAATTCTTTCTGACTTTAATAATTTCTGGCTTTAATACTTTCCATAATCGGATCAGCGAATCCTTTATTACGGGTATATCCGGCTCGGTCACTTTTATTTCCAGTCACAGTAACATCATCTAAAGAGATCATTTGTTCCAGTTGACTGTATTATCTTCAGATCATTCAACTAAATGTCTCTCACATTTATTACTCAGATAATAGCTGTTTTAATTCATTCTTTTTAGCTTATTTGTAGAGAGCAAAACAGAGGTTCGTATTGAATGTATGCGCTCTACTTGTTTGCAATGTGGAAGTGCTTTGACCGTTAATGTATAGTTAATAGGTGTGTTAAATTAAATGTGATATTCACCAGGCTTAGACTGTAATATATTATATAATGATATAAGCATGTTTTAATGTGTCATTAATAATGGCATTAATTTAAGCAAACTTTAAACTATATTTTCATGTCATTAACTTATTATTTAAGCTATATTCCATCTATAGTCGTAGACAATAATGATGTGCCAAGCCTTTGATGTTTTGACCTTTGAGGAGTATCACATAGAACGCTGCCTGATTAGACTTTTACTAAATTCCTTTAACATTTTATAATCCTTTTATATTTCCTTTAACATTTTATAATCCCTTTTGCTTCATACTGGCAATGTTTACGCAAGATTGACAAACACACTAACCTCCTCCTTAAATTATTATGAGTGGTCTTAAAGATATTTTCGGAACGTTTTAAATAAAAGTACGAAATACTGTCTTCCACAATGTTAAAGTAAGCACCCAGGGAATGACCTTTTAGTGAAAAATCTTGAGAAAGTGTGATCCCTCGAAAGCATTAATAACAACAAAATAACATAAAAATTGTCGACTCGGTTTGATCGAGTCTGTACATGAGGGATAATGAAAAAGTGCAACATTCCTCATGCCCTCTAACACCAGTTTGAGCTAGCACCGTTTTGAGCGGTACTCAATTTTCAACACTTACAGCAGCTGTTTGCAAAGTGGTGGGAATGTACAACTTCAGAAAGAAAAGTCAATCGAGGAAGGCAATTCAACTTCATGTATATAATGAACTGTATGTAAAACAATAAAAAGGAAAGTCGAAAACAATCCAAGTGCATATGATCATTATAATAATATCAATAATACGAGGTAATGTGTATACCTTAACCTGTAACAGTTGTTTACAGAAGCTTGCATCAATCACTACCATGAACAAGCTTAATCACACCGAGCCTGTAATATATTCAGTTTTGCCATGTTTGGTGTTCTTATAATAGTATCTGTCTTATGATTACTTGAGCCTGAATGCTGTTGTTTCAAAACCATAAGAGGCGTTGACTTTTTCATTAAGCTTTCCGGGTATATTTCATGTAAGGCAATGCCCTCTTATGACTGTAGCAACGTATGTCTGAGTAGTAGTTAGGGTGTTCTGCTACTAGTTATACTAGAAAGTGGCAATATGTGACTTAATTGATGTGTGTGACTTTAACCCAAATCATTTGTATTATTAATTAACTTTTCTATATATGGCACGTTTTCATTTCAAATGTACGGCTAATGTTAAGAGAAAACTCGACTATTATGAGATTGAAGAATTTTGATTGGCTCTCAAGCTCGCTATTACAAATCTGCATTTTTTTTTCACTGAAAAAGGCGCCATTTTGAAAACCTGATAAGTATTCCTATAGTGAGAGGATTCACTGCATAGTTAGGAATTAAGAAACATCCGCGGACGGTTTCAAACGCAAACTAAACAGAATGTAAGCGTATCACAGACAGTTGCCAAAAAAGACTGCATATCTTGATAATGCTTCAACATTTTGCCAATGAGTGACTGGCAATCATTTCTCAAAATAAATGTTTCATTTATTGTAGTCCTAGACCAATAACATGTGCAAGATTTCAAATCATTTGGTCACTCCATTTTTCCAGAATATTTATCTAATTGTGAAAAATGTCTCACAATTGAAAAGCATTGCAACGCTTTTCGCTTGGATCAGGCTAAGCATACCACAAAAATGCATTCTGTGTCTTGTTCTCTAAATTGTCTTTTCCATTGTTTTCTGTCTTATTAATTTATTTTGGGATAATTATTTATACATATTACATTTGTCCATCTTCTATGCATATTGATTTACATACAGGATTCCACAGAGCTGTATCAGTACTAAGGGTGTAGTACTTAAGTACCAGTACCAGCTCTTGTCAAGTTATGCAGTACCATTACTAGATACCAGTACGTTTTAGGGGTAGTAATTAAGTATCAGTACCATTTCTTTTATATATTCATCAAAGTTTGAATAAATACACCGTGTCAAACAAAAGAGTTGCAAATATTATTCAGCAAAGAAATAAAATCATTATTTACTTTAAAGTTAACATTACATTTTTACAACTTTAATGTTTTAAACATACTTTTACAAACAATATTTACAACATATGTTCATGGTGCTGACAATATCAATTTAGAATAGAAGTAATTAATTAGTGTTTATTTTGCTCTTTTTACTAGTAAGTACAAAGTAATAAAAGATTGTAATAAGGATATTTTATGGTAAAGACTAAAGAGTTATTGGGTTTGTTTATCACAATTTAATTTTTACTTCAAGTCTTTGAAATGCAGAATTTCAAATGCATAGTTGCCATTGTAAGGAATAGCATTGTAGATTGGTAATGTAGAACTGGTATCATGCTTTTGATTTAAGTCTTGTGGAAGAAGACAATAACAATGGATCACAAAAGAGGAGATGAAGGTGGGGGAGAGATTTACTGGCCTTTGGTGTTTATCGATTTGTGCCATCTTTATGGCAAAGTTTTTTTTAGAAAAATTATTAATACATTCTATTTACAGAAAGAACAATTCGCCGTTCCAAAAAAAAATCTCCCGGATATTTAACTCGCCAGGTTTACTTTGGGCCTTATATTGATGTAAAGAAGACCCACAGAAGTAATGGAAAAACGAATCTGCAAAATAATCAGACAAATAGTTTTTTACGGTTGCTCACAAAAACGCGAAATTTCCAGGGCATTTTGCTTGGTTTAAGGCTTTGGGCCTTATAAATCCAGTAAAGAAGACCGTCCAAAATATAGTAAAAAACGAATCTGGTTTGGCTCAAGAACCAACTCTACTTGCTTACCTTCTGACATAGTTTAATAATTTCCAGAAACTTCATTCCGAGTTGCTTTTATGGATTTTGGTTTCTGCCTGGTTGTATTTGTTCAGGGAACACAAAGATCGTATTTAGCAGACGACAGTTTAGTAAGGAATCGTGTTCTTAACAATAGGTGCGGTATTTTTTCTCTGGATCAACATTAATCGTTTTAAAAGCACACATTAAACATATTAAAATACATAAATACATTGATAACAAAAGCAGGCACTGAATGAATTAATGAAATGGCAATAATCATACAAAGTATCAGATGTATCGCTTTGGGAATCAAGTAAATGACAACCACACTATATTAACGCTATTAAAATGGGTAGAGATATCAACACAATTATTAAAGCTTATTTGAAGAGGAATATCTACTCTACTTTGTCAAATACAACGATCGAGTGTCAAATATAAATGACTCTAAAAGTTGATATAAATTTATACAAGGAGTGTTCAAATATAAATGCATCTATTCAATAATGCGAAAGTCGATAGGACATTTAGATTATTGAGTAGATATGTGTTAGTGTTACATTAGTGATAACACACTCATTAATAATCATGTACGTTCAATGTATCTGTGTATTTTTGCTGGCGTTTTCTGTTGATTATTAAGTAGCTAGAGTACACAGGTGCTTTTTTGGTTCTTGGGCAGAAAAAAGCCATATGAAAATTATTTATAAAAATATGGGAAAAAGAATGCAAATAAAATTGTTTTCAAAAGTCATGAAAATAACTCTTAACTCCGTCCGCTCCTTTAATGAAGAGTATAAATAAATTTGCGGCCAGAAATGCTTTAAGTACAAGTTAATTTTAGTTAACAACCAATTAATACATGCTTGAACAAAACATTTAAATGAACCTTTATTTGGAAAATGCAAATTACAACATTTATAGCACTGAGAGAAAAATAATTGTTTTGATAAATAAGCTTCAAAACCTATTGATTTGCATACCAATCTTCCTCAATGTCGTTTTAGTGGCGAAACATTCATTGACAATTTAAGAAAAAACACAATGTTCAGAACACAGCGTGTATGGCAAAAGACCATGAATTAAAAATCAGATAAAATAAATGTCAAGAAGATTATATACATGCATATCATTTCCTCACTCATTATGGGACCAAAAATATCATGTTATTATTTCTTATTTAATCTGTTTGTGGGTACAACGAGAAGCAAAAGTAATTATCAAATTTAAAAATTGTTATGAATACGTTACGTTACGGTACGGAAATTAGCACCTGTATGCGGTACTTTCACCTCACTGTACAGAAATTAGACATATGTTAACAAGAAAAAAAATGGCTGAAAAAGAAAGAAATAAAGATTTTGTTTCCTCTTTGTTTTTCTTACAACGAAGACATTTGAAATTTATTATAGCGGTTTATTTTGTTTGTATGATAACTATAGTTTTGTCTACTGATGAGAAAAATTGTAATGGTGTTACTTGCTATAATGGAAATTGTACACAAAATGCGAAAAATAACACAGTCTGTCAGTGTTTTGACGGATGGACGGGGAGTTCTTGTTCACTGTGTATTGGGAGGATAAAGTAAGTATGGTTTAAAACGTTGGAAAAAGGATAAACATTATAAGAAAGTTATTCACGTTTACTTGTTTGTTGGTTTTTTTTTCTTCAAAATACTGAAGTAAATTAGGTTGGTCACACCCAAACCGCAGGTGGGTCTGTCTCTTATGAAAGAGGAAGTATTTCTAGCAGACCTGTCATTCACTGTTCCAATTAATTTTATATGTCTGTGCCAAACCCACTTTTTACATATATTTATTTATGTAGATTTCCTAAAAGCTTCTTATACAGGCAGTGAGACTGGTGTCTACAGGACAACTTATTAAACTTGTCATAGTATATTGACATGCCGAAGCTTGTAAGTTGATTCTGAGATATTTTCGTGCTGGGTCAGAATCTCACTTTTAGAGACGAGATATGGGGGTAATTGCCCAGACACGAAAATAGGACAATATCTTGTCACACAGTACTTAAAATTAGTTGGACTAGTCATAGAGACATCGAGATAATTTTAGACAGGCGATGTCTTTTTCTAATATTTTGATAGTATAGAATAAAAAAAATTGTAAAATGGGTCAAACCGTTAAAGCGGAATTAATTAGGTTTAAGGCTCGTGAAAATGCCCGATCAGGCTTAAGACATAAAAAATCATATTTCTAGAAAAAAAAATATTTCTGTTAACTTAGTTTGTGTATTGAGCATAATATACTACATAAACTGTTTAAACAGAAAGAAAAATATTTGTGTACCCTCACAAAACCCTCACTTTTGTGAGAATTTTTTCTACTTTTCATGTTTATATAACACATGATTTTTTAAAGTCCCTTCATATTATAATATTATGAGTAAATATTAGAGGCTTTTAAAAGCTTTTTCATCAGCAAAGAGCCAGACCTACCTGGACGTACATGTACATTTGTATTTGCAGTCTGATACGCTCTATGCTCATAGTCATGATAATACTGTTAGTATAATTGTTCAATTTTTGTATTTTGATATAGAAATCCCTTAGACTTTGAATGGACTATTCTAAATTCAAAGCACGGAAAATCCATTATACAACTTCATCAGGCTAAGAAAAAAAAAAACACTAGTATTTCGCCATTTAAAATTTACTTCTTCAGTCAAATTTGCTGCAATATTGTAATGTTTAATCTCAGAAATGTTATCATTTGTATTTCTCAAAATCTTTTTATTTTAAGTATACATAGTGTTACACTGTTACAGTTTAAAGGCAAAAAAATCATTTGTCAAGTGAATGAAACATGTATCATTAATTCTTTGGCTTTTTTTGCTCTGGTGGCAATTGGTAGTTGTACATGTAAAATTTTAGTCAATTTGTATTTTTAATGGAAGTCAAATTGAAAATACTTCCTTGTTTACCGTTTGCTACCTTTACAACACATTTCTGCATGTTGTTTCTGCAGTTGTGTAACTGTTACACCATTTATTAACTTCTATTTGTAACATGCTGGAAATCCATTAAAAAACATTTCTGTACAAAATTTAAAAAAAAAGTTTGTGGGGCATACTGTGGCTTTAAACCAACTAAAATATTTGAACAAAGTTTTAAATGTAAACATAGACTTCCTTAAAGGCAATAAACCATGTCTTATCACTATGCTCTTGATTTTTGTAGCTTAATATCATAAATTTTTTCTTGTACAAATATAAAATGAATATTTATGATTTATATCAATTTATGGAGTTAAACTTTTTAAAGTGAATATGCAATATTTATAGAATGGTCTTTTTATAGACATGTGCATGTATGTTTGGGGAATTCATGGTGGGAGGGGGGTTCTCTTCTTTATTTTGTTTATTTTTGGAAAAGCATACAGTCCTTTGAATTGGAGAGAGAATAAATCAGCACAAATTCTTTAATAGAAATGAAAACTTGCAAACAAAATAGATAAAGATAGTTTATTCAAAGAATTAATGTCATGTTCTTAAACATGATGATTTTTTTATCAAGGAATCAAAACAATTGTTTCTTTTTCCTTTGTATTTCTGACAAAAAAGTGCAGTGTCAAAAGAAATGCAACCATTAGGTAATTTTCATTATTAAAAAAGAAAATGTTTTGTATAGCCTCAAGAATGCCACATTTTACCACATGTAATTTATTGGGAAGGGACGCTGGATTGCCATTTTGGGGCCTGATATTAATATCTTATGTTACAAAGTCATTATGTCAGAGTACATAAATTTTTATACTTAAGTACTATTGTTTCCTATATAAAGTATAACACCTTCATTTATTAAAATTATATTCCAGATACTTGGTTGGTACTTTCCATGGACTTTCACAATGGGCTGGGTTTGAGGCTAACTGGGTCAATGTCATGCCATGGTAGTTAGATCTTAAAAAAAAATATTCCCACTTGTATTTACTTACATGTATTGTTTTGTTGTAGCTAAAATGAACATGTACATCAGGAAACATCCATTTGGGTTACGTACAAGTAATTTTAAGATATCGTTCTTTTTTTTTCTTCAGATTAACATCAAATTCGGGTATTATAACAGATGGGCAAGGTAATTATTCTGTTGATAACAAATGCATGTGGCTGGTGGAGCCGGACTCCGGGGGATTGCCATTAAGACTGACAACTACACAATTTGCTACAGAGTGCGGATGGGATCATTTGTATATATTTGATGGAGATTCTCTATACTCACCATTAATAGCTGCATACAGGTAAGAAAATGTTTGTCATGATTTGAAGGAAGTTTAGATTATAAACATGTTATCATTATCAGAATCATCATTTCATGGGGCTTCATTAGCCAAGTGAGTAAGGTTGTTGACTTCAAACCACTCACCCTTAGTCTCTGTAGGTTCGAATCCCAACTGGACTTTGTATGCTTTCATGTTAGGAAGCTATCCAGCTAACTTACAGAATGTCGGTGGTTCTACTCAGGTTCTGTTAGTGCCTCATAATATGAGCGCGGAAGGGCACCTGAAATCTTCCTCCACCAGTAAAGCTGGAAAGTTACCAAATGACCTATACTCTGTCGGTGAGATGTAAAACCCAACAACAACAACAATAAAAAACAACAAATCATCATTTAGATTTGAATTATTTTATATCCTTACAATATATTGATCCAGCAAAAGTGTCCCTTTCCTGTTTCAGTTTCAGTCAATTATAGCTACATGTACCATGGTAATAGTACATGAACTTGTGCAAAACTTTTCTTGTGTTTGTTTGAAAATGTTATTTTTATTAGCTTGACTACTTGAAAAATAGAGAGAACTACATGTATTGTACTCACCCAGGCATTTGCATCACACTTTGGTTATGTTTTTGTGTGTAAGTGGGTATCTCCAAAAGTAATGAAAGGAATAGGTTGAAATTTCACACACATATTTGAAAGCACGAAAGGTCACTGTCCATGGCCAATAACTCTATATGAATTACCATGGATTTATACAGAATAATACTTAGACAAATCCACATTATCCAGGCTGTTGTTTTGCTATTCAGCACTGAAAATAGTCAAGCATGCCTTTGTTTAAGTTATATATCTTGTATTCAAGGTTTGATCATGAAAGTTTATTTCTTGTTTTAGTGGATTAGTACAGCCATATGTTAATGCCAGCAATGACATTGAAGAGATTGTGGCTCATTCCGGAAAGGCTTATATGTACTTCTACAGTGATGCCGCATATAACATGACTGGATTTACCATACAATACAGGTATCTGAAACAATTATTCTTAAAATTGATGTAATTTGTTTTGTAGTTTAAACATTATTTATGAGCCTGATTATAAAGAAAGCTTTCAGCTTTCCTGAACCACTCTTGAGTCAGCTTCCTGGACTAACAGTGTTTTTTTTCACCAAAATATTCGGCGAAATTCTCCCTATTCCCCCCTCAAAATAGTATGTTTTTTTCCCCCCTCAAAGCTGAAATTTTCCCCTATAATATGGCAGCCCAAATCTGCCTGCAATGAATATCATTTTTTTGCAACTAACTGCCGAAAAATGCTTTATTTTATGCCTGTAAGACTTACTGTTGAGCAAGGTTTTTCATATAGGTAAGGGGAGCTACTCCTGGTATCCCAACAAGTTTATCATGTGACACATCAATATTTTAGATCCGTATAAAAATCCCCCTCCTGTTGCATTTTTCCCCCTCCAATGGGCACTGACCCCCTTCCCCCAAAAGTGAAAAAAAACACTGACTAACCAGTACTGCATTTGAGGATATAAAACTTTTTTCTGTGCACTGTCTTGAATCTCATGATGTTGATTGGACATTATACATTCCCTGCTGGTTTTTTACCAGTTAAATACCTGAGATGGAAGTTTAAGCTTAGAAAAAAAAAATAACCTCTGACCCTGGTGTCACATATGGAAATATGCCATGACCACAGTAGGGCAGGGACCCACTCTGGCATTGATTTCAACTGAATGTTTCCTCTTTGTGAAATTTAAAGCTCATATATAGCTCATTTGTTACTATCAAACACTATGAATAGTGAATAGTCAAGTGCTATGTATTTCTGACAGCCTCTTGCTTTCTAAATTTCTATAGAAGTCATTGTAATTTTTTCAGATGTCAATATTTAAATGATAAAAGCTTAAGTAAGAAAAAATGTTTTGTAAAAGGTTTAAATTTGTCATCATTTGGTTACCCAAATCATATGAAATACATGTAGAACTAAAAAGAAACTGCCTTTGGGCTTTAGATAAAAGATTTTATGCTTCTGTGTTATTTATTGACTTTCTTTAATTTATTTTCAGTGTAAGCAATTGTCCTAAGAACTGTTCCGGACATGGTGAATGTGTAAATTCAACATGTATTTGTGACACTGGATATATAGGTGAAACATGTTGGACAGAACTGTGCCCAAATAATTGTTCAGGAAATGGAGTATGTAATAAAGATACTGGCAGATGTCTTTGTAATCGACAATATAAAGGTATAATCTTTCAAAAAAACAACTTTTTCATAGCTCAGTGGTTGACATTCTAGATTAAAATCACTTACATGTACCATTCTTTTCTGTTTGATTGGTATCTTCCTTCCCACACCACATATCTTTGGGATGCTTAGTTATTACATATCATTGTGAGTAAGCTTTCATTTAGATGATTGAATATTACCCAAGTGCCTTAAATTATCCTTAAAGCTAGAAATTAACAATATGGCCTTAACAGGGTTGGTTTAATTGGTTTGACTTATTGTGGATTGGATTACAATGGGCACATTTAATTAAAATAATTTAATAATTTAAATAAAAAGCAATAGAAACATCATTTGGATGTTCATAGCAAATAATATTTTTTAGGAAAAAAATTGTTGATAGAGTTCTAGGTGACTTAGAAAATGGAAAATAATATACACGTATTAAGTACAATATGTAGATAATATGTATGTAATATTTAATCAGGGATTTACATCACTTTCAAATTATTTTTTTTTTGGTAATTTACGTGAATTGAAAGTGCTGTTTGCAGTGTGTAAATGACTTTCTTTATTCACTAGAAAATTGAATTTCTTTCTTCACTTGAAAATATACTTTTAATACATTGTCAATGAAAAATTAGCCTGAATCTGGACTGGAGGTGGGCTGCTTTAACAAAATGGCAAACAATAAACAAAGGCCACAGTACCATATAAGATATGGTAAAGACAGTTATAATTAGTTCTTAATGGTACTTTATACTGCTTAGTATATTACTACCTGACATTTGCCTTGTGACCTCCATGTAACATAAAATTTCAATTATATACATTAACATGTGTTTATGTCAAACAATGTACTGTTATTATGTAAAGTGCAATAACTATATTATATAATTTATTGTAATGGAAAACCAATATTTACCATTATATGTGTAGGATCAATATCAGTTATTTAGGGAGCCTAATAATAACACTTGTTTACTAGAAGTGATAAGTTGTAGACCTAAGTGTAGCACACATTTTCCTGTAAAAATGATTAAAGTACTAAGTATATTTTTCAAGGTAGAAAGTCCTTCGTGTTCATCGCTAATTTAACATTTACCCTAATAAAAGATTGTTTAAGAACTTGGTTAAAATTACAAATTTTTAATTGTAATGTGAAAATAATAATGGTCAAAGTCTTGAAGTTAAGAGTCTGGCCAGACTGTATGGAAACACAGGCTGGTTTAGCTCTTTAACCCATTACCACCCAATATATCTTAAATGGACTGGTCCATCTGTCAATTTGAACAAAACCATTCATCATTTTTAGGGAAAATTTCAAATACATGTATATACTGACTGAAAACCGATCATTGCATACTGTGATCAGTCTGATCTGTTTCTGCTAGCAGGCTATGGGTTAGTCATAATATTTTGGCGTGCCAAATCTAGATTCTGAGAAATTTTTGTTATGGGTCAGAAGAGGAAAGAGATATTGCCCTTATACAGATTGTCACAATATCTCATTGCATAGAACAATTAGCTGGACTAGCTAAGGGTAATTACTGGTTACTGATAAAAAGATTGAAAATATATACATTGTACAATGTATGTAAAAGATAATGATTGAATTTATAGGTTTGGACTGTAGTACCGAGGTATGGGAGGAATCATGGACAAGATATGAGGATGAAACATCCCCAGCAGGTAGGGCCTCATCAGCCTCTGTTGTCATTGGAGATGAACTTGTTATATCTGGTGGTTACGCCTTCGGTCAGTCAGTCGATTTTCTCATCATGTAAGTTTCCTTTATACTTGTCCCGTATAAAGATTTGTATAGTTTCCTCTGTATGCCTTTGTGTTGTTTTTTTTACAGTTAAAATTCGACACCTGTTAATTTTTAAAAAGATCATTGCTGGACCATCTTAATGTCAATAAATTCATTTATTATATACAGGTATATATTTAATGCATGCTTTACATTTTACTCTTCCCCACTTCATTATATCCTAGCATTGTAATACCCACTCAAGTAAAATACAAGTTCAAATTAAAGTACCCCTACAATTGCACTTGCATTTGTTTTCATCAACTAGTAACCAAGTTTGGCAGATTTCCCTTTTGAAGAAGTGGGCTATTTCTCTCTTCTCTGAGTCATTGTTGTTATACATTTCTCACATGGAGTCACTCTTTTTTAATGGAAAAATACAAAATACTCTCAGGGAGTTGCGATTAGATTCCTTGATCCACTGAGGATTTTACATATTTTTTCGTAATTTGTACTGCAACTATTATGATATTACTTGACTCTCCGGTCAAGTTTAACGATAATCAGTTCCTGAACAATGCTTAATCTGAAAATGAAAATAATTGTTTAGTATTTGAAATAATTAGATCTGCATGCTGACCATAGCAGAGCATGCCTGATAATAACTTTTTCTATTATCATGTGATAATTAGATAATGTTAATAGTATAAAGAAAGATACTTTATTTGGACCTATCAATACACTAAAGTGCATGTATTCTGTGTTATTGGATTATTGATTAAGTCTTTAGTGAGAGAATAAGAAAATAATGTCCATACTAAAGTATACTATAGTAAAGTACCTATAAGTATTACATTTATTATTGATAAGCTATTAGATGGTCATATAATTCATGATAATGATCACTTTTATACATACATTAAAGCTGAGGGCTGCCAGGTTGATATATTAATTCAAAAATCAATCTGAAAAAAATTACATCAATATTTTGAGAAAAACATGAGCACAATGCAAGAGAGATGCCAAATATGATAGAAATATTGGTTTTATGGCCATATGTATCACTTTGTACTAAGTTAAGGGGTTTTCTGAATAATTTGAAACTATAAATGAAATTTAAATGAAACTTCCCATCATGTTTGTCTCTATGAATAATATATAATGCAGTTCTGAACATAAATATATTAATATATATGCGTATTTAATTGTTAAATGAAATTAAAATGCAAACAGAATCACCAAGTTATTTTTATATGATATGCCATGTGACATTAACAAGCCTTTGAAGTAACAATAACAAACATGGTGGAAAGTGCAAGTTTAAAACAAGTACATGTATAATGCATTCATTTGACAGGTACTTTATGGTACCATAGTTCGTTTTGAATGAAAAAATTTAGAAAGAAGAAATTTTGCCTATAATATGCCTTTAACCAGTGTCTATTGTGGGATTTGAAAAACAAGGGGGATTTTTAACGAATAGTGAGAATTTATTACGTTGATCTCTTTCTTTCTTTCTCTATGTGAAATCCCCCCCCACCCCCCACCCCCTGCCTCTGAAAAAAATAGGAGGGAATTCTCAAACATATGGGTGAATCCCATATCCCCCATCCTAAAATAGACACTGCTTTAACTCATAATCATTATGTTTATTTCCCAAAGTCCCTTTTAAATGTACCATGTATACATTACTTAGATTATATGATATATAATATATATTTATTTGTCACACAGGTACAATGTTACAGCTAACACATGGCAGACTGTTACACCCCTATCTACAGACAATCCAGAATTCTTGTATGGGCATTCCATGATACTTTATAATGTAAGTAATTTTTTGTTCATTTATTGCTTAACTACAAAAAAAAGCCAATAACTCATTTAACAGCATAGTTTAACATTTATATCATTTGTAAGGCTGAAATTTAACTTTTTAAAGCACTAGAATGCTAAATTTCTGCTTTATTTTTGGATTCATCCTCAGTATAAGGTATATAATGTAGGTGGAATAAGCTCCAGATTGTAATCAACATCAAGAATAGTAAATGTTTTCCATTGACAAAAGATAGGTCTTCCTTCAGTTATGTAAATCTTCAAAAAATCCTTAGTGAATTATATTGCTAAAGCTAAACAGCTTCAAATCATTAAGAATGTCTTGTTTGATGTAGAGAAAAAAGTATAGTAAATGTAATTAATTAAAAGAAACAATCCAATTCTTTCTGAAAGGCTTCTTCTGTTTCTTGGATATGTTGTGACGTATTTGATGCACTAGGTATTGATATATTTAAGGCTTGTTTGTGTAAGTATGGTGGGGTGTAAGGGTAACATGATGATAAATCTATTTTAGATAGGTTTGAAAATTGTTTATATTTGTATGTTTAGTAGTACGATCAAAACATTTTCAGATGGATGATGATAGTTAAGTAAAGCAACACAGTAGTATGGTAGGCTGTCAGGGCAATAAGTTTCAAATAATGATAAAGTAAAGCAACACAGTAGTATGGTGGGGTGTCAGGGCAATAAGCTGCAGATAATGATAAAGTAAAGCAACACAGTAGTATGGTGGGGTGTCAGGGCAATAAGCTGCAGATAATGAGAAAGTAAAGCAACACAGTAGTTAGTTCTGGCTTCCATAACTTTATATGTCGCTTTTATTTTGACGTTGCGACAGTAAAGTTATGGGTCAACCCTATTTGCAAAGGCTACCAGAATTTGACAGTTCGTGCGCGGTACATAAAAACTTCTTTAAATCACCCTTATTAATAAAATTTGGGTCAAATAAAAATACCAATTGATAAACAAATCAATTTTGAACCAATTCACGTTTTGTTTTTAAATGAAACTTCAATGACTTTGTGTACCCAACTATTTTTAGAGAAATATGTAGAGAATGTTTACCAATATGGAGTCTGCCTTCAAATGAGATCTCGCGGGACTTCATGTTTTGGAAATTCTAGCATCTATTTTTAGTAACGGACCGTACATTATTTTTAGTAAGTGTATGATTTTTATATAAAAACAAACAAATAATTCATAAATCATCACTTAAAACAATATAAATCCAACATGTTTTTGGTACAATGCCTATTATTGAATAAATACACCGTTATTCATAATTGCAAAGCCATGTTTTTCAGTTAAAAATAGCATTTGGGTCACGTGTCACCAAAAGTCATGCAAAGGTATCCGAACCTAAATTCTCGCTGGTCACGTGATAATTAAGGCAGCAATGGCGGCGAATTTTATGAAATGTGAACCCGCTGATAAACTTTGAGGCAATATTTCATCAATCTAACTTTCTGTGTTAAAAAATATAGACTGAAGGGTCCCAAATATATCTAACTACCTGTATTAAAATAGCTTTTGTCCAGATCACGCAAATTTATTGAATTACAGCATGACATAAAAATGTCACGGTTCTGGTTGACTTTCGATACGGGGTTGGCTTCAGCGAACAGGTCTAGCAATACTATAAAACCTGTTCGCTGAAGTATCTTTAGCTACACAGTAGTATGGTAGGCTGTCAGGGAAATAAGTTTCAAATAATGATAAAGTAAAGCAACACAGTAGTATGGTGGGGTGTCAGGGCAATAAGCTGCAGATAATGATAAAGTAAAGCAACACAGTAGTATGGTGGGGTGTCAGGGCAATAAGCTGCAGATAATGAGAAAGTAAAGCAACACAGTAATATGGTGGGGTGTCAGGGCAATAAGTTTCAAATAATGATAAAGTACAGCAACACAGTAGTATGGTGGGCTGTCAAGGCAATAAGTTTCAGATAATGATACAGTAAAGCAAAACAGTAGTATGGTGGGGTGTCAGGGCAATAAGTTTCAGATAATGATAAAGTAAAGCATAAAAATATGGTGGGCTGTCAAGGCAATAAGTTTCAGATAATGATAAAGTAAAGCAAAACAGTAGTATGGTGGGGTGTCAGGGTGTATGACCTATATTTATATATATTTCAGGATTGTTTATATTTGTATGGTGGGGTATCTGGGCAACATATTGAAAGTCGTCTGTGGATTTACAATATAACACAGCAGAGATGGTCATATGAACAGTTTAATGAAACCGATGCCATATCTGGTCATACTGCAGTTGTTGTAAACAGTACCATGTATATTATTTTTGGACACAGTCCGATATATGGTTACAGGAACAAAGTGAGAGAGTTGAGATTAGGTAATGTACAATAGAGATATAATATGTGCCTTATTTTGAGTAAAAAATATTTAAATCCTATACTAGTTTGCAAAAAAAAATAAAAAAATAAGTAAATAAATACACTTTCATATATACTATTGTTGAAGAAATCTTTATGATCAGAATTTTACAATAATTGGGCATAAATGTGTTGGAATCAGGTGTCCAGCTAAATGGGCCATGTCACAGTCATAATATGCTTGTGAATGGAGGGTTGTGTCTTGTCCATGACTTTGTCATTCATGAATGGATATTGAAATAATTCTGCATAATTTTTAGACACATTGAGCTGCCATGTCTCATGCAAAATTAAGGAATGTGGCTAAAAAATTATCAATATTTTTCAGATATGTAAGGTTAAAATATAAGTATTCTGTGTGCACTTTTCTTAAATGAATTCTTCAATAGTATGGTATCTTAATTTTTGTTTTATTTTTGTTTATCACCAGACTCTAATGATTTGAATATAAAAACTGTGAAAACAAACGGAGCTCTTGTTAAAGGTGGTTACGGACATACAAGCGTGTATTATCATCGGACAAAGGAGATATATGTATATGGAGGTTACATCTCGGGAGTTAGCAGTAATCTCTACTCACTCACAGATAAACTCTACTCTTTTAACCCTGTCAATAAACATTGGTAAGTCTGTATAATTGTCAAATCATAAGAATTAACCCTTTCCCCCATGAGCATATTGTGAAAACTGGCCATTTTCACTGAAATGCCTCCTGTTACAAGTTCAAACTGCTATAAAACTATGAAAAATGCTTCAATACTAATCAAACTTAGCACAAATGTTGACTGGACCATTGCCTTTGTAACGACATGCTCAGTCTTAAATTTCCTGTTACCATGGCAACGAGGGGACATCTCAAAATTGCCAAAAATCACTTTTTTGCCTCGATTTTTTCCATCAAAATTTATTTCAAAGTGCTGCAACTTCTCAAGGGATTGAGATAGAGTCAAAGGCTTTTTCAGCGTTGGTTACACGTTACCTTATGATCGACCTGGGGTCATTTTAAGCCTCTCACAAGTCCAAAATTTTCTTGGCGATGAGGGGGACTCTGCCCCCCTTCAAACCCCCCAAACAGAAGGGGGCACATCCCCCTTCTGGCAACCCCCTGATGTAATATTTGGATGGGGGACGGCGCCGAAAAAATGGTCACTTTTTTTAACAACATTTCTCAAACAAAAGACAGTGTTTGGGGCCTAAATAGGGCATTTTTTCACTGTTTGAGGCCTCAAAAAAGGGGGGGGGGGGCAAAAAGCCGTCGAAACACGCTTTTATAAGGGAAAAGGTTAAGGTAGAAAATAAAATTTGTTGTTGTTGTTAAAAATAAAGAATCCTGTCAAAACCTCTTACTAAATTAGAAAAAAAGGCGGACAATTTGTTTCCCGATCGTCTATTTTTAGAAACAATCAGACTGGTGAGTTATAAATAGCGCTGGGGATGCTGTGTTGAAGAAAGCTTAGCATTGATATGATAGACTTTAGCAAGATAAAAGTACTGAAATACTTAGTTTGAAACAGCACAGAATTGTTTATCCGACAAAAAATTAAAGCTAAAGGCCACTTAAAGCTCTCTTATCAAAGCTCTTTGTAAATGTTGATCCATTAGGGTCACTTTGTAAGTCCAAATGAATATGTGTAGTAGATATTGATTTACTATTGCAAAGTGTAAAATTTTGATTATAAATGAGCTGCGTCATGACAAAACCAACATAGTGCGTTTGCGACCAGCATGGATCCAGACGAGCCTGCGTATCCGCGCAGTCTGATCAGGATCCATGCTGTTAGCTATCAGCTTCTCTACTTGTTATAGTGTTTTTAAGCGAACAGCATGGCTCCTGATCTGACTGTGCGGATGCACAGGCTGGTCTGGATCCATGCTGGTTGCAAACCCATTATATTGGTTTTGTCATGACGGGGCTCAAATAGAATTTGTAAACTGATTGATGAAGTATTTACCTGTATAAAATACGATCATGGCCATTTAGTGGCTAAAAAAGAATTCATTCAGTAATATACATGCTACAAATATATTTGTATTACAGGAAAATTCTTGCCAGTAGCGGCTCTGTGCGTTACTTACATTCTGCGGCATGGTTAGGGGACCTAATGCTAGTGTTTGGAGGGAACACACACAATGATACATCAATAAGTCTCGGTGCAAAATGCTACTCTCCAGACTTCATGGCATATGATCCAGGTATTAATACATGTATACATAAAACCTATTATTCTATTAAGTTTCAATGGGTGAGTCCTTTAGAAGAGTATTGTCATTTTATATTTTGGAGGAAAGTGCAAGATACAGACACAGAAAGATGCCCAAATTCCAGAACCTTCTCTTGGTTCTTTAGCATGCTAAATGTTTAAGCTCTCATACACAGAACCTTGGTTTAAAGTCTCTTCCGAAAATATCAAATTAAGTTGACCAGCCCGGGAATCGAACTCACAATGTCAAGATTACAAGTCTTGCACACTAACCGATTGAGGTATGTGGGCTTGCTTACAGAAGAGCTTACCTGGAGACTTTATTTTATATTTTTCTAAATGGCAAAGTTAGTGAAGCTTTGTGAGATCATTATTTAATCCATTTATTGAAAAGCAGCATTTATTTTAAGGACTATAGATAAGGTTAATAAGTATCATTTGACTTCTAAATTGCTTATCTACCTTAAAATTGAAAACAAAAACTGTTGGACATTTTTGCATTTTCATCCAGTTTCAGTCTTAACTATTATATGTTTTGTATATGTTATGTTACCTTAGTGCATTAACAGGTTATCTCCTTATGTAATTGAATAGGAGTTATCCTGTTACTGAACTAAGGCAATGAATAGTACTATATTCTATGAGTATCATGCATGGAAACAAACATTGGTTTAATGAACATTCTTCAGTTATTTAAACCATGATCAAAATATTTTCAGAACAAATTTTACACTCAAAGATGCAATAGTTTAGAAGAATAAAGTTAGATAATGTCATTTAAGAGAGACTTCACTCAATAAAGTATATTCCTCCAACTATTTTCCAAGATGCAATAGTTGAGAAGAATTAAGTTAGATAATGTCATTTAAGAGAGACTTCACTCAATAAAGTATATTCCTCCAACTGTTAAGAATGCTGTTGGTAATGTATTTCAGAGTGCAATTCATGGAGATATCTGGATTCTATCGACATTTTACCAAATGGTGCTAGATATGGACACATTGCTCAAGCTGTCACAAGGTAAGCGAAACTAAATGATTGTTTAGTTTACAATAGTTTACATATATGCAACTTAAAGGTACTCCACTTGACAGGACAGGAAATATTTTTCCAAGATTTCTGTATAATTGATGAAGGTTTGGACCAATATGTTTTTTATGCCCCCGCCATATAATGGCCGGGGCATATAGTGTTACCCTGTTCCGTCATTCCGTGCTTCCGTCATTCTGTCATTCCGTCATCATCAGTTTCCATTCATTATCTTAGTAACGGTTGCACACATTCAACTTAAATTTGGCATATGGATATGTCATGAGAAAATACAGGTCAAGTTCGAATTTAGTCATGGTTGATAATTTTTGGCAGAGTTATGCCCCTTTCACTTTGAAAATAATATGGAATTCTCAATTTGTCATTATCTCCTCTAGGGAATTACACAACTAATTTAAATTTGACATATGGGTACATCAAAGAAATACGCAGGTCAAGTTCAAATTTTGTCATTGTTCGATGATTTTTGGCAGAGTTATGCCCCTTTAACTTTGAAAAAAAAAGAGGAAATTTTCAGTTCCCATTCATATTCAACTCAAATTAAAGGTATGGATATGTCATAAGAATGCATTGGTCAATTTCCAATTTGGACATGGTTTGATGATAGCTGACAGAGTTATCCCTCTTGAACTTTGAAAAAAAAATCGGAAACTTTAAGTTTCAGTTCATTATCTCCCAAATGGTTGTACACATTCAACTCAAATTTGACATATAGATACATCTTAGGAATAAGCAGTTTAAGTTTGAATTTGGTCGTGGCTCAATGATTTTGGACAAAGTTATCTCCCTTCAATGTTGGAAAAATTTTGAATTTTCAGTTTCAGCACTCATACTTTGGTTGAAATGTATGTAGCCATTAATTTGGCTAGAAATATGCAATATGAAATTTACAAAAGGCTATCACTGAGTAGTTTCAGTGCCTTTAACTTTGTTTAAAAATGGTTTGTGTTAACATTGAATAGTTTTAAGGGCTTTGAACTTAAAATGAAAAAAATAATTTGTGCAAACAAATTTGGAACTAAATATTATAACATACATGTATGAAATTTTGGCTGCATGCGGGGGCATCTGTGGCATGACAACACATTTCTAGTTTATGTTTTAGACCTTAAGACCTCAGTGGAGTTCCTTAAAAGCTAAATGCTTTCAGATGAGCCAAAATATTTCAAGAAAATCAAATTTGAAGAAAAATGTACTAGGGTTTTAAAAAAAAAAATGAATTTCAAGATTCAAGTTATAATTTACATGCTATAGACTTCAGAAATGAAAAAAAAAGTTATGTATTATATAGAAAAGAAATTTAATATTTTATTATCTAGAAAAGAAATTTAATAATAACTTATATTTAGTTTTAGTTACCTTAGTTTATGCCAGTTGTATTCTAAATTTAACTTGTTCTTTATTTCAACAACAGAAAAGTGTTGTTTAAATTTTTTCAGGAGATTTTTTTCTACTATTATATTTTACCCTGGATAAAGTAAAAGATTAGGAACTCTTTAAGTAAACATTGATTGAAAAGCAGTCTTTTTGTGTTTATTTCAGCTCGGACAAAAAGAGAGAGTTGATGTATATTTTTGGAGGGTTCACTGGTATAATGGAAAATGATATTTTGATATATGAGCCAGGTGATTGTTGTTTTCTTTCTAATAACCTCCAAGAATATGAAAAATTCTTTGTTGACAATGTGGTAAAGGATGATAAAAATTAGGGATGGCAACGATTAACCGGTTAACCGAGTACTCGATCGAACGTCCGAATATCGGTTAACAAAATTGATATTCGATTACTCGGAAAAAAATGTATAATTTCTATTTTATTTGCTATTTAGACAGTTTGGTGTATCCAATTAGTTCAGAAATTCGGAGATGTGCATATATCTTCATAAATACATGTTAAATGTAATCACAACTTCCTTGCAGAGGTGCGAAAATAATATCATAAATTTAAAGAGGCGATCAACAGTTTGACATGCGCATATGTGTCGCTTACGTCATCCGGCCACTTATGATATTTAGTAACCTTTAATTGTGTAACACAGCGCAGTTTGTACCCGAATCTTGTTTAAAGGTAACATTTTTAAAAAAACAAAATGTTATTATGATATAATAATTAAAGTTGTATTTAGACCCGGTTAAATTTTTGTTGCCGCCGATCAGTCTATTTTATTACAAGAAGAAAAAGATATTAAAATGTTTTAAACTTGATATTGCATTAATTAAAATGTTCTCAAAATGTTGTTGATTTAATTTTGATTTGTCTCCTTTGCAATTTAAATAGAAAACGAAAGTAGCATGCTGATGGTGTTGATATTGTGTGATAAACTTTGAAGATCATTGGAAATCGTCCGAGTAACCGAGTACTCGATCGGAAAAATGACCGAGTACTCGAGTATTGATGTTGGTATTCGTTGCCATCCCTAATAAAAATACATGGTTTTAACTTCTATATATATCTGGACCATGTTAGACAAGGTGCATTATCATGAAAGCAATATTTTTAAGAGTTAGCTCCTTTTTAACTTAGAATTTTGTCAAAAATGCCTAATAAGTTGTATGATTTCAAAACTATGAATGGTAGCAACATGAAAATATAACTATTTTTGGGCTAGGGAAAACTGCCTTTATTTGACTGTCAAATATAGGGGATAAAGTCGCTTTCAGTATAATGTACTTGTGTGCTTTCAGACCAGGCTGTATACTGTTGGCCAGCTCAATTTTGTTATTGAAATCCCTAAAAATTTGAATTGATTGTCCCAAATTTAAATCCATTACACAAATCAGTGGGTAGACAGATTTTGTTATTTAAATCTTTTAGGTGCATGTACATATACAAACAAAACATCGTGTGTTACAAGTTTTCCTGGAAGAGTATGTGCATGGACTGACTATGGCTGTGATGATCTATTGTCTGCAAGAGATGGCGTACTGGCAGGGCTAACAACTGATATTACAAGAGACAAGTGTGAGCCTTTAAAAGGTAAGTTATTTTAGATTACTTTTACGTGACTAGTTTTTAGGTAAGTGCACTTTTTAAAATGAATATTTGTGTTTGTTAGCTTGGCGCAATATGGCGAGAATTTGATTTGGTACTGGGGGGGGGACCCTGGTGGAATCCTTTGACTAGGTGAAGTCTCGAGAGACAAATGAGCCGCGTCATGACAAAACCAACATAGTGCGTTTGCTACCAGCATGGATCCAGACCAGCCTGCGCATCCGCGCAGTCTGATCAGGATCCATGCTGTTCGCGTACAAACACTATTACAAGTAGAGAAACTGAATTTTAAAAAATGAGACACTGTTGTCTATGTTATGCAAGTTTCTTGAATAGAATCGTTAGATTAAAGGCATATTATGCCTCAGAAATGAATATAGTTTTCCTTCTTAAGAAAGAGCAAACATTAATTTAATAACCTTGAAATAATAGTTAAGAGCATGTTAGATGCTTATCACTCTAAGAAATTAGCACTAAATATGAAAATAACTTGTTATAAAAGTAGCAAAATGTAAACTAAGTAGTTATTTTGACTTCCATACAAAATACTAAATCATTATACTGTAGTAATTGCCAAAAGGCAGCAGGAGCTAAAGATGGTTCAGGTAATTGGCCAATTAGTAACTTTTTGGAAACTTAAAAGAGGACACCAAGAATAATAAGCTTTTGAGAAATAAAAACAAAAGCATTTCTTGGGCATAAATAACCTTTAATCAAAGAAACAAATCTTTGGAATGAAAAGCTATCGTATTATGAAGCCAAATGTGAAGCCATACTAAAATGATGAAACTATGATTTGACTATCCTGAGACAGCCTTCTATACTCTAATGTACTTATAATCTTGCTTGTAGTGTAGATAATTAATTGAACCCTCAACCTTTGAATTTTGAAAGTTGAATGACACTAGCCATGTCTGTGTAAATGGGGAGTCAAATGAACCACATGTAAAAAATAGATTCTACTTAAATATTCAGACAAAGGGACTTCATGTACTCTATTACAGTTTGTAAATGAAAGATACACAGTTTGAGTTGATACACATGTAGATATGATGTTGTTTTTTTTTTCTACATATTTAGATGCTGCACGTTATTGTAGTCAACAGAAGTCATGTGGTTCCTGTCTGTCAACAGCATATGACTGTAAATGGTGCTCTAACAACTGTACCTCTTCATGCTCACCCACTGAAAAGGTAGCTTTATCTTTTTAGGGTTTTGGGGGGAGAGGGGGGTGGGTGTGCATAATTATATGAAAATCAAGAATATTACAAAATTTATTTGTAGGGAGGTATGTGGCTGAGTGTTTAAGGTCTTTGACTTCTAACCACTAGCCCGCCACCACTAAGGGTTTGAATCTTGACAGGGACTTTGGATTCTTTCATGTCAGGAAGCTAACCTTCTAGCTTAAAGAACATTGTTGGTTGTACTGATTGGTTGTACTGAGGTGTCTGTTTGTGTCTGAAATAATACCTGGACGAGCACCTGAGGTCTTCCTCCACCAGTAAAGCTTAAAGTTGCCATATGTCCTATACCTTGTTCGTGCGATGTGAAAACCAAACCCAACCAAAAAAAAAAATCAAAATTTTTGGAAATTATTATAGAGAAGAAAATAATCTGATGTTTTGATGCCTCTGCATTGATTTATAGATTGGGGATGCTTTTGATTGGTAGAGCAGGGATTTACAGATATTTACACAATTCAAAAAAATTTTTATAAACTTATTATTAATATATAAGGACTGAGAGGCATTTTTTGCATTTATTTAACATGAAATATGCTATTTGGTATTAAAACAAAGGCAGTGCTAAAACATAAAGCTATATCAAAAAAACTACCTAACTTAACAGTATACCTGTTTAACTGCAGATTAGAAATTACTGTTTTTAAACATTTAAAGGTGCAGTAAGCCTCAAAATGGAATATATATTGTAGCTTGACTATTCAGAGTGTAGGGAGAGCTATTGTACTCACACCATTTGTCAGTGTTGACTTCGGTACAAAATACTAAATCACTATAACTGAACTTATTGCCAAAAAGTAAAAGAAGAAGAAGAAAAAATGGTTTGGCTTTATGGCCAATAAGTTTTTAAAAGCTGTAACAGGACACCAATTTATCAAAGACCTTTTTTAAAAATATAGAAAATATCATTATGAATTTTAAGAGCAAAATGGTTGTTCTGTTTTCAGTATAAAGTGACAGATGTTCAAGATTGTCCACTCAAGTACAACTCTATATGTAACAAGTTAAACAACTGCCATGCTTGTTTAGAACATGATGAATGTGTCTGGAACAAGGGAGAGAAATTATGCAGCTTCAGTCAGCAAGGACAGGATGCCATTCATGGTACAGTGGACTTTTATTGGCCTTTAAAATAGTCTGCAGGTAGCAGCTGAATCTACCTATATAATTAGTGCTGACCATAATTCAGCCACCACATTTGTGCCGTCCTATCTTGGTCTACACTGTTGGCTGTTCAGTCAGTAGATTTTTTATGCTCCCCGAAAAATTTCGGGGGAGCATATAGTCAGCGCCTTGTCCGTCTGTCTGTCTGTCCGCACTCACAGGACAGTAATTATATGGCTAGAGGGACAATAGGTAACTGTTCTTTCTCCTTGATGTCATTCATTCTGTAATGCTTTTATGTGGCTATTTTCTTTTGTGTCGCTAAAAAGAACAATAGAGAGAACAATAGAGTAGCCACATAATTACTCTCCTGTTAGAACGTCCGTCCGTCTGTTGTATTGTCCGGAGCATAACTTGAAAACCCTTGGAGATAATTTGTTTAAACTTCATACAGTGGTAGAGGGCATTGAGAGGGAGTGCAGTGTCAAAGAACCATAACTCTATTTTGCCTGGTTTTTTAATTATCTCCCCTTGTAGAAAAATCTTGTCCAGTTCATTGCTGTAAAACTGTAAGAGATATCAACATGAAACTTTGTAGGTAGATATATCTCAATAGGTAGATATGCAATGCAAAAGAATCATAACTCTGCTTTGCCTAATTCTGGAGTTATTGCCCTTTGTTTATTTCTACTTTTTGAAGTTGTCTGGGACATAACTCGGAAATCATAAGAGATATCAACAAGAAACTTTGTAGGTTGATAGATCACATTGATTAGAAGTGCAGTGCAAAGAACAGTAACTCTGCCTTGCCTAATTTTGGAATTATTGCACTTTGAACTCTTTCCAGGGACATAACTCTGAAACTACAAGAGGTGTACTTTCCTGTGTCCAAAACCTATTCGGGGAGCATCACCCGGCTTAAACCGGGCTCTTGTTGTATTTTTTCCCTAAAATTTGTGAATTGTTTTTATCCAGGTTGAAAAGTGGGCAAGTCTGTTGAAGATATTTAGTGTAGTAAGGGTTAAATGTATCATGGTCATTTAAATACAAAAAATATATTTATACAGTTGTTGAATTTTAAAATTCAATTGTAAGTACTGCATTTTTTATTAAAAATGCGTTAAATTAATCAGTGTTTCAAAGGTATTGATTTTATCTTAAAGGTTTTTTAACGTTGAAAGCTGTAAAATATCATTAAAGCTCGGTTCACTCAGAACATTGCTATGTATCAATAAGAACATTTTACTGAAAATTTTACTGGGTGCATTGCTTAGTAGTTGAGTTTACAGTACATTCATGTAATTATGTGAGGGGATTGGTGGCCTAGTGGTTAAAGTATGTGCATCTCAATCCAAAATTGATGGGTCTGAGCCCTACTGGTTAGTTCCAGGAAACAGACTCAAAGTGATTAATATAGTTTGCAAGATTTTGTTTTTCAATCAAGCTTATATGAATAATTTATATATGTTTAAATTAACTTGACAGTCTTGTGATCAACTTCTATATGTACAAATGATTTATATTTCTTGTTTTTATAGACAAAGATAGTGGACAGGATACCAAGAAAGAGATGTGCGATACTCCATGTTATCTTCATTCATCGTGTGAGAATTGTACCCACAATGCCTGCATGTGGTGTGGCTCGCAGCAGCGATGTGTTGAGACCAATTCTTACGTTGCATCATTCTTGTACGGCCAATGTCAAGAGTGGGTTACTGATAATAAAAAATGCCATGGTATGTTGATCAGAAGGTCACTTTTTAGCTCACCTGTCACAAAGTGACAGGGTGAGCTTTTGTGATCGCTTTTCGTCCGGCATCCGTCCGTAAACTTTTACTTTAAATGACATCTCCTCATAAACCACTAAGCCAATTTCATCCAATCTTCACAGGAATGTTCCTTTGGTGGTCACCTTTAAGAATTGTTCAAAGAATTTAATTTCTTGCAGAACTCTGGTTGCCATGGCAACCAAAAGAAAAAACTTTAAATATCTTCTTTTAAAAAACCCAAAGAGCTAGAGCTTAGATATTTGGCATGAAACATCTTCTAGTGAGTGTCTACCAAGTTTGTTCAAATAAAAGCCCTGGGGTCAAAATTGGCCCCGCCCCAGGGGGTCATTGATTTTCCCTATATGCATATAGTAAAAACTTAAAAAATCTTCTTTTAAAGAACCCAACTTAAAAAATCTTCTTTTAAAGAACCCATAGAGCTAGAGCTAAGATATTTAGCATGAAACATCTTCTAATGGGTGTCTACCAAGTTTGTTCAAATAAAAGCCCTGGGGTCAAAATTGGCCCCGCCCCAGGGGGTCATTGATTTTCCCTATATGCATATAGTAAAAACTTAAAAATCTTCTTTTAAAGAACCCAAAGAGCTAGAGCTAAGATATTTAGCATGAAACATGTTCTAATGGGTGTCTACAAAGTTTGTTCAAATAAAAGCCCTGGGGTCAAAATTGGCCCTGCCCCGGGGGTCATTGATTTTTCTTATATGTGTATAGCAAAAACTTAAAAAATCTTTTTTGAAAAAACCCATATAGCTAGAGTTTAGATATTAAGCATGAAACATCTACTAGTGAGTGTCTACAAAGTTTGTTCAAATAAAAGCCCTGGGGTCAAAATTGGCCCGGCCCGAGGGGGTCATTGATTTTCTCTATATGCATATAGTAAAAACTTAAAAAATCTTCTTTTAAAGAACCCAATGAGCTAGAGCTAAGATATTTAGCATGAAACATGTTCTAATGAGTGTCTTCCAAGTTTGTTTAAATAAAAGCCCTGGGGTCAAAATTGGCCCCGCCCCGGGGGTCATTGATTTTCCTTATATGTGTATAGCAAAAACTTTAAAAAATCTTCTTTGAAAAAACCCATATAGCTAGAGTTTAGATATTAAGCATGAAACATCTTCTAGTGAGTGTCTACAAAGTTTGTTCAAATAAAAGCCCTGGGGTCAAAATTGGCCTTAGGGGGTCATTGTATTTCCCTATATGCATATAGTAAAAACTTAAAAATCTTCTTTTAAAGAACCCAAAGAGCTAGAGCTAAGATATTTAGCATGAAACATGTTCTAATGGGTGTCTACAAAGTTTGTTCAAATTAAAGCTCTGGGGTCAAAATTGGCCCCGCCCCGGAGGTCATTGATTTTCCTTATATGTGTATAGCAAAAACTAAAAAAATCCTCTTTGAAAAAACCCAAAGAGCTAGAGTTTAGATATTAAGCATGAAACATCTTCTAGTGAGTGTCTACCAAGTTTGTTCAAATAAAAGCCCTGGGGTCAAAATTGGCCCCGCCCTAGGGGGTCATTGATTTTCCCTATATGCATATAGTAAAAACTTAAAAAATCTTCTTTTAAAGAACCCAAAGAGCTAGAGCTAAGATATTTAGCATGAAACATGTTCTAATGGGTGTCTATAAAAGTTTGTTCAAATAAAAGCCCTGGGGTCAAAATTGGCCCCGCCCCGGGGGTCATTGATTTTCCTTATATGTGTATGGCAAAAACTTAAAATCCTCTTTGAAAAAACCCAAATAGCTAGAGTTTAGATATTAAGAATGAAACATCTTCTAGTAAGTGTCTACAAAGTTTGTTCAAATAAAAGCCCTGGGGTTAAAACTGGCCCGCCCCAGAGGTGTCATTGTTTTTAACTATATGTGTATAGTAAAAACTTAAAAAATCTTCTTTTTAAAAAAACCCAATGAGCTAGAGGTTAGATTTTTAAGCAGCAAACATCTTTTTGTTGGTGTCTACCAAGTTTGTCCAAATAAAAGCCCTTGGGTTTAAATTGGCCCTGCCAAAGGGGGGGGGGAGGTCATTGTTTTTCATTATATGTGTGTAGTAAAAACTTAACATCATGAACCATCTTCTAATGGGTGTCTTCCAAGTTTGCTCAAATAAAAGCCCTGGGGTTTAAACTGGCCCCACTCCGGGGGCCTATATACAGGTGAGCGACCTCAGGGCCATCATGGCCCTCTTGTTTGTTTAAAATTTTTAGTTCAGTCATTTGAAGAATAGAGCCCAGCTAGCTTTCACATCCGTAAAGTCTGACCAGACTCTATACTGTAGGTTGTGTTAAATTAAATTAAATTAATATCTACGATGACTTAAATAAGTATAGTGGTGATCTGAGCGACACAGTTATGTTTTTGTCAGAACACTAAAATACACCAGCATATAACCACAAGGAATATTTGCTGACTGACAACATTTTTCAGAACATTTTACTACAAATTTTGTTATTCAAACAATACGATTTTCATCCTACTTACACTTTTACCATTATGTATTTGTATAGTGCAGTATAGTATCAGAAATGGCAATGCAGAAATGCAATTAGGCCTTCAGTGCTGTTGTACTTCTTAAATATGTAAGAGTCTTGACAATAAAATAACTAGTGCTAAGTTTGTTCATTTTTTGTTACACTTTCAGCAACAAGATGTTCAGATCTCTACACATGTGAAGATTGTAAGTCTAATCCAGCATGTGGCTGGTGTAATGACGCCAGTAACACGGGTCTAGGCAAGTGTGTTCGAGGGGCGGCATCTGGGCCCGTATCTAAGGACAATACTACACAAAAATATCAAGTGGACATGTCTATATGTCCTGCTGATAGATGGCATTTTATCAAATGTCCATGTAAGTATTTTAAAAAAATTATGTGACATTAAAGTGACATAAGGCTCATTTTTTGCTGTCAAGAATAGCCGAATTAGCAATATATTTCAAAAGATTGGCTATTATAATGGTGTCTGACCGATAAATAATTGATCATGAAAAATGTTTATGATACAATATAAAAACTACCTAATTTACAAAAAGACTGCCCTACTCTTTTTAAGGATTGAGCATTACTTATACATCCTAGACAAACCGTTAACGTTGTCGACTTCACACCACTTAACTCCTCACTTTTGTATGTTAGAATCTCATCTGTAACTTTTGATTTTTTTTATGTGAGGAAGCTATCCAGCTAGCTTACAGGGCAGGATAGTGACACTACTCATGTGTCTGTTTATGTCTAAAATGCATTAATAGGCATGTGAGGTCTTCCTTTACTTATAAAGCAAGAAAATCACCATATGACCTTCAGTGTGCCAATGTGTCTTTAAAACCTAATAAAGGAGCAGAAATTTTAAAGGGTGAAGGGAAATACTCATTTATATTCTAATCTTGTTTTAATACCAACAAATTTTCAGTATGTCAATGTAATGGACACAGTACATGCCAGGTCTTGCCAAACAAATGTGATGCATGTCAGAATCTGACAGAAGGGGAACACTGTGACATTTGTAAGGAAGGTTTCTATGGTAACCCAAAAAATGGCGGCAACTGTACAGGTAATGAGAACTCTGTTTTGTATTACGATTAACTAGACAAAGTAGATCAGTTGATTTTATTTCTACTAAATGCTTAAATTTCAATTTATTGTGTGAAGGTAAGGCCATTTTCAAGCAAACTTTGTCTACAGTTTCTAGTTGTTTGTCTACTTTAGTTAAACTTAAAAGTTATAAAAGTTATTTAAATGATTTTATGTGAAGTGAAAGAAATTTAGAAACAATTAATATATACGCTTACAATAATAATTGTTTAATGCAAGCCATGAACTTTAATTAGTTAATGCATACCATACTAATTATATAAGCCTGTCTTTTAAGATTCTCAAAAGAGCATGTATTATATTAGGGAATTTTTTTAAATATATACTGAATGAATAGCCAACAGTATAGACCATGATCTGATGGCACATGCACATTCTTGCATACTGACCATTTTGGACCAGTTGACAGGGGCTTTTTGGTTTGAGTCTTTTTTAGGTGAAGTAAATGTTGACTGGTTAGTTTACGGAAGCAGACTAGACTGTGTTGCAAGAATTTATTTAATAATCAAGTTAAAAAATATGTTAAAACTTAACTGGACTTGATTTTGGCATTTAAATTTTCAAATTGTGTTCATTAAGGGCGTAGGTAATTGCAATTAAGGACTATTTCATACTTGTAGAACTTTATGTGTGATAAAATTATTTGAATGTTTAACAAATGTTTTTTTTATGTACAGCATGTAGTTGTAATGGTCAGGCTGACTCATGTAACCGAGAATCAGGATCTTGTTTCTGTCGTACACGTGGTGTGAAAGGAGACCACTGTAATATGTAAGTTAAACATTTTTAACTCTTACCACACTAAATATGTTACCCATACCATGCTGGAACCAAAAGCAATAAGCCTTTTCCACCAGTATAGGGCCAGGCCAGCCTGTACTTCCGTGAAGTCTGATCTGACTATACTGTTGACTGACACACTAAATATGTTGATCCTAAAAAGTAAAAATTGATAATAATTAGTTTAAAAAAGTTAAAGAAGGTTTAGGGTTAAAGTGACATGCTCATTTAAGGGCATATAGCTAGTGAACAGGTGAAAGTCAAAATAAGTGTTGTTTTACCATAAATCCATTTACCTGTAACATTCAGTTTATAAAAAGAGTGACGCAGTCTAGGAGTAGATTTTATCTTAAATATTTCTCACTATCAACTTTTGGTTAGTCACCATTATAACAGTCAAAGCTTTTGAATTTTTTAGTCAATTCAGCTCAACTTGACAATAATGTCATTTTAAATCTTGTATAAATATTGTTAAAACCATGTATCATTTTAGGGAAAATTTTAAAATTTGTTCTTGCTGAATAGCAAACAGTGCAGACCATGATCAGATGGTTAGGAAGTGATGCTGTCATTAACTTTCAATTAACAATATATTCATGTGGTTTTATGATTTATTCAGTGTCTAATATTTCGTAAAAAAAAATCATAGTTTGGAAAGTTTAATTTTACTCTTTCTTATTTTATGGCATTTAGGGAAACTGTTTCATTTTAATTTGAATGATCACTTTGGTGACAGATACAAAACTTGCAGATACCTTCCTTTAACTCAGTTTATTCAAAAAGTTCAGAAGTGATCAAAGTAATTTTGTAACTGAAAAAAAATCTTGTAACAAACTCTTGTAAGGTATTCCCTTCATTTAAAATGTAAAAGTTGTTATTAATGAATTTTCTTTTCTCTTTTCTAGATGTGACTTTCAAAATAATTATTTTGGCAACCCTAATGATGGAGGCACATGCTATTGTAAGTATTTTGTAACTTAACCTAACTTTAAATATATATGATACTGTATTTAATCATATATATAAATTATATGTAACTTAGAACTTTGCTGCAGAGCTAGACTTTATGTTAAAATCTGATTTTGACATATCCGGTTCATGTCCAATTTATATGAAGCATTTCTCTTAACTTCTGTACATGATAATAAAGTAAAATGCACAATGTATTGGTAAAAACTCACTTCTCTGTACTAGCTGTAGAACAACCTGTGCAATAACATTATATGGGCACTTGATTTTGCAGTCCCTAGGGCATTATCTTATAACATTTTCATGTTTCATTCTGATTACTGAAAAATATAATCACAATGAGCTGTATGAAGGAAAACAGATTGTGGTTAAAAATTTACTTCCACCTAGAGTATACTGTTTTAAAATTTCAGTCTACACTTTGTATCACTCATAAGGGGTATAAAATAGGAATTTTATTCTGTCAGTATGTAATTGTTGGTATGTTAATTGTTTTTATGTTTTTTTTGTAGATGATTTGAGGACAGATTATCAGTTTACATTCAACCTGTCTAAACCAGAGGATGGACACTATACAGGGATTAATTTCATGAACATACCTGTGGCTGTAAGTTAAATATATCTATATATTACTGGTTGGTTTCAAAGGATGCTGCCCTTGAATTTTTTATGTCCCTGGACATAATAGATTGGGAGGTCATATTGTGTCAGATTCTGTCTCTTTGTTACAAAACTTAAATTTTGACCCTGAAAGTGCTTCCATTTTGCAGCCTCCAAACTAAATAGGTGCATGTACCTTCATGAGCTCTAATCACTAGACCCACTTTGAGTTCAAGGTCACCAGAGTTAAGATTCCAGAGTAAAGATCCTCCACCCCTTGGGGAGCATGTGAAATCACTTTTAGTGACTGGCATGAAAAAGAGGCTGCTTTGAAATATGGAGCATGTCCTTGACCTTGTCAAATTTTCTCTAAAATGATGTGGGATATGTGTTTTATTGTCTACTTTCATTTTATATTCAATTTTATTTAAACATTTTCAGCGTTATTAAAGTTCTTTTAATTACTTATTAATTGCATCTCTCTTCTCAGAATGACAGAGATGTAGACTTTACTCTTAACTGTTCAGTGGAGGCCTATATTAACATAACCTGGAAATCTAGTAAGTTCATTCTTTATTATATTAATAAGTAAATGTTCTTTTCATTCTTTAATATTCAAGTAAAAGTTAAGGATATCAAGAAAGTTTCCCTAGAATTATAGTTTGTTACATGACATAATGAATTCTTTTAAACAAAATTGTCTGATGCTTTACTGGAAATAAGCTTCTTTTTTTAACAGTGTCTACATTGAAATTGTACATGAATCCACATTTGAAAATTCTAATTCATGTGTATGGCATGCTAATAAAATATATGAAAATAAAATTTTATATAAGATTTTTTTTGGAAATGTGTTTGGCTCAATATCTACATTGCTACATAGCTACATTGGCTTTTTGAAAAATCTTGCATTTGTACAAATAAACACATTTTTTTTTTCCGCTTACAGAATCACATCCGCAAGAACAGTACAAGACAAGAGAGTACAGATGTACCTATTTTAGGTCGAAGTTTGAACACAAAGATTATAACTTTGGACCAGATGATAATGTGACCTTCTTTGTCTATGTTTATGGATTTAAAACACCATTCTGGTTACAGGTCTGCCATTTGTGTTTTGCTTCTTTGTTTTGTTTAGTCATTGGGGTGTTTTTTAGATCATTGTAATGTTAAGAAGGTAATCTCACTAGGTTTTTAAAGTCTGTCTGCTTAGCTCAATAGGGAGAGCATCAGATTTGTTAACCAGGGGTTGTTGGTTTGATCCTTGTTTGTGATGATAGGTGCACTTATGGAAAAATTTTATGAAACGAAAATGTCGCCTTCAAGAATGTTGGGGTCTTTTTATAATAAAGGGCACACATGTACTAAATGTTTTATCCTCTAGCAGTCTACCAGTACTAATGCAGAATTATCTGACTGCAGACCCTTAGTGTAGGGAAACACAATAGTGAAAAAGAAGTCCAAACATTATTTGCTTAACTACATGTAGGTTGAATACTATCAAAGGTGACTAGTTATCCCTTATTTTACCATGAAAATGTTATTTTGCAGTGTTCAATATTGCATATTGTTGAATAACTTATGTGGTTTTCAAACTCGGTGAGAAAATAATTATATGCTGTGATCAATTAAACATTTATATTACAAATTGAATAATGATATTTGCAAGAAACATTCTGTATTACGATGGTTAGGAAACTACCTGCATATATGACTGAAATACTGTTGGGAAAAGGCAAAAAATAAAACAAACAAACAAACTTGAAAAGTAAATGTAACATTCTTTTGTTATTTCCAGATCTCATTTTCACAGTTCCCAAAGATTGACCTTGTGCACTTCTTTGTTACATTCTTCAGGTATGGTGACATTTTGTAACTGTCTGTTATCAATTGTGTTGATATCAAGATGGAAATTAAAGTTTATTAGCCAAAATTACAAAACCTTGACACATGTGCTGGTTTGCCTAGCTTTATACACTTGACAAAGGCTAGTTACTTTGCACTCCAACTGGTACAGGGTTAAATCGTGCAAGAGGATAAGTGGGGAGTCTGTAGCCGAGTGGTTAAGGTCGTTGACTTCAAACTACTTGCTTCTCATCACTGTGGGTTCAAATCCTGACAGGGACTTCCATGTGAGGAAGCTTTCAAGCTATCTTGCAGAACATTGAAGGTTCTACTTAGGCACCCGTTCGTGCCTGAAATAATGCTTGGAAGAACATCTGAGGTCTTCCTCCACCAGTAAAGCTTGAAAGTCGCCATATGTCCTTTACTGTGTTGGTGCGATGTAAAACACAACCAAAACTAATTAAAAAAAGGTGTCATATTTAGCTAACTTACAGAAGATTGATGATCGCCTGCACCTGAATAAGTAAACTGAGGGCACTTTGTGCTTTCCTCTATAACACTTGAAAAAATTTGGCTAGAAATCTGCCTTACATCTTAATAGAACAAATTTATGTGACTTAGTAAAAGTTAAAAACAACAGTATGCTTTTCTATCAGAAATTTTGTGTTATAATCAATAATAAGCTACATACAAAAAAATCTGTTTTCAGTTGTTTTCTGACATTACTGATCATAGCTGCTGTGTTGTATAAAGTGAAACACAAGTATGATAGCTACAGACGTAGACAGGTATAAATTTTATCATTTCTACGTATTGTTGAATGAATTCTTCTATCAATATTCAAAAAAATGTAGAATTTTGAATTATATGTTAGACATGTTAATCCTAAACCTGCTAAAAGAAATGTTAATCCTAACCCTGCTAAAAGATCTTAAATGTACTTCTCTAATTACCATCTGGACTAAATCATTCATCATTTTTTGTCATTCATCATATTTTGGGAAATTTTGAAATCTAAGTACTGACTGAATACTGAACAGTGCAGACCATGATCAGATGTCACACATATGCTGGTCTTGGTCTGCAAAGATTGCAAGGGTTGAAGAAGTTAGGGTTATTATTTTCATATACAAATTGAAATCTCATAAATTTATCAATATAGGATGGTTAAAATATTGAAATGGGATAGAATTATTGCATAAAATTCATTGTATTTAAGTTTACATCTGTCATTTGTTAAGTAAATCACCGTTCCCTCGATAATTTTTCAGCGAATGATAGTTGAAATGGAAGAGATGGCCAGTAGACCATTTGCTACAGCAGTACTAGAAATAGAAAGACGTGTAGAGAATATAGGAGCGGAGAAAAAAGATGTTAATCCAGATCTCAGGAAAAGGAAACGAGTAAGTACATCTATTGGAACCAATACCTTTATAATATCTAAGTTGATATAAAAAATAAAAGTAGAAGCAGAATTAAAAAGAATTGGTCTATAATGGAAGGTCTGTAATAAGATAAATAATTAATTATGTTGATAGTATTTAGTGTTAGAGGTAACAACAAACCATGAAAAAACTACATGTGGATATTGTTGGCAATTATGACATGCATGATCCGATATTTTGAATATCTATTTAGCCAATAGTAAAATGTTCTGGAACAAAATATTATTATTCATCATATAAATTTTCAAACTAAATCACTAAGAACTGTGATAGTGTAATCCTGATAAGAAAATATTTTATAAGATTATCGAAATGATACATTTCTATTGTTTTTATCAGTATTTGAAATTCTTATGGACACTGTGCCCATTATAGAGCAATCCACTTAAATATATTACTGTCAATCTACACTCTCAGATTCTTTAGCTATACATAGGTTTCTACTTTGGGGAGAGAAAAAAAGTTTCCTATTTTTGCTGTTAAATTTTAAAATTTAGATACTAAAATGCCTTTGTCTTAAAGTTGTTGTGGGTTTCTATTCCAAGAAGCATCCAGCTTACATACTAGTGATGTTTGTCTCTGTCAAATACAAATTATCAAACTTACCAAATTTGGATTCTCTAATAACTCTGAACTGAAAATAATCTTTTCTAATATTTCAGTTATCAAATAAACCAGGACAGGTAGCATTAGAACCATTACACAACCAGAAAGCTGCAGTATTGTCATTATTTATACAGTTACCATGTGGTGACGAGGAGTGGTCGCCGCCTGGTTCTACAGGACTGGCAATAGGCAGTGCTTTAGTTTCATTTGGTATGATCATTATACAAATTTAATTTAGTTTGATTGTGTTAGAATCTATAAGCTTATTGAAACACTCGTGAAATCTGTTCCTGGAAACAACAGCTTGCCCCTGACAGGGTTTGAACCCACACAGTCAGCAATCCTTAGTTTCCTAGTCTGATGTGTTAACTACTCAGCCACGCTGCAGGTACAATTTTCTGTACCTCAGTGGAATTTATTGTATAATCAGCTGCCAGTTTATATTGGTTGTTTTATCTTTAAGATATGACATGATTTTGAGATAGACTTGTCACAAACTTTTTACCTCATACTTCACAATGGTGATTTGCTTGAGTGGCTAGTTTATTTTTTCAATCTGAACTGTCATGTGTTTTAGCTATTACAGTAAGTATGATCCCCACCTGACTATGGCTCTTGTTACATTTAGTGATACTAGCAAATTTTAAGTTTATTATCTGGAATGAGAAATTAAAGGAATTGTCAATTAATATCCTCTCATTGAATATAATGCAATTTTCTTTCACTTTGTATTTTGTATATTTTTCCCTCACAGGACACCAAAGAAAACAGAGTGCAGAGTTGGTAAAATCAGAGAAAACGAAACACAAGAAACATGCATTTTCAATACATGACACCAATGTCTAGGATTAATTATTTACGTTTTTACTTCACCATTCCATAGACACGCAAACTCATTATATTAACTTGTCATAAAGAACTAATGAATACACAGAATTGAATTTTGTTTTTAGGAGATTTTGTATAAATTGATATCTGATCCATACCTGGATTTCAGATTTCTCTTAAGTTATGGCAGTCTGCATGATATTGTTAGTAATCTGACATAAACTTTGTATAATAGATAAATACTTAAGCAATTCTTAGTTTGTTCAATAGTAAGTACATAAGTTAAGCAATGCAAACTTTGTTCATTAGATAAGTACTTAAGTTAAGCAGTGCTTACTTTGTTCATTTGGTATGTACTTAAGTTAAGAATTGCACATTTTTTCATAAGTTAAGCAGTGCTTACTTTGTTCATTAGATAAAGTACTTAAGTATTACATATTTTTTCATTTATTGGGTACTTGAGTTAGTTAGTACAATCTTTGTAATCATTAAAAAAGTTCTTTAAGTGATAATACTGGTCAAAATGGATGCAAAAGTAAAGCTAATAAAGTATTGACTGTGTTATAAGCATATTGTTCTTGCTTGAAAACTGAAAGAAGCACAGGTTCAGATGAATATAGTTTCTGAATTTTTTTACAGTTGATATGTCTTAAAATTGTTCCATTTTAAGCTGTGTTTATTCTGGACACAGTTTTAGAGTTCCATAAAAGTATGAAAACAGTGGCATATGATATAATTTGAAATGAAAGGGGAAAAAATGGCAAATCAGTCAAAACGAAAAAATTTATAGTTCTTTTCATTTGTTACAAGAATTTACACCCTTTTCTATTTGGAAACATAAAATAAGAACTCACAGATGTTGTAAACATTTGTTTTATAAGTGTTTCTCTCACAGTGTGATTTAAATATGTATCTGCCAATATGCAAATTTGCAAATTACAATTCCATGCGAAAAATTAGAGACAGGCAACAGATAATGGTTGTCAAATTTTTAAAGTACAAAATTAAATCTATTGGGTTTTAAAAAAAATATTTATTTTGAAGGTGTTGATTTATATATGCCAAATAATTGTATACATTGTGTTAGGGCATAATTTTTAACAATTTATTATTATAATGTTTTTCATATTGTTGACCAGTAATATTACATGAAGATAAACAGTGCAAACTTTATTCATTTAACACAGATTTTTAAATTAAATAATACCCAATATGTATTATTTTTAGAGAATTTAGTTTAATTATTTTACTCTTATAAGAAATAATGTACACATTATATACACTATGGAAACAGTTATCTACAAATTTTGCAACAAGTTATGTATGTGTAGGTTAAAAAACCAAAAGCAGTACCTTTTAAGTATGTAGGTTCTTCTTTCTTTTAAGGAAATTCTTCCAATTCGAAAAATCTGCCTAAATGACCAATACTCCCATGGGTGATGCTTTGGACAGGAAAAATCCAAATTATATTAAGTACCAGTCTTTATGATGATATGTTTAAGTATGATGAATCCTTACTTGTGCCGAAAAGAAAAAAAAAAGAAAAACAGTATCCATGAAGCTAGATTTTTCATTCATTCATTCATTTCTCTGTATTTATTATGTTTTTTTACGTCAGAAACCAATGTGCAGAAGTTGTTATTAATATTTTGTTTATTATTGTTATTGTTTGTATAAAGGAATCCATTTTTTATGATGATGCATGATTCATTTATGTATTTTTGATGAGTCGGCAGATTTAGTTATTTGAGAAACTTTCAAGCTGTGCTTGAGAACTACACCCCTTGTATTAGGTTTTGTTTTGTCTCCTTGTATGTTGTAATTCTTTAAAAAAAAATCTTAATTTTTTGTTGTCATGTTATATGTAGGCTTTTCATATTAATTCTTGTATAAACACGCAAGTTCTGTTTTGAAAATCATATGTAATGTTTATAACATTTTAGGTAGATTCAAACAGTCCATTTGTTAAAATTGAAAAAAAAAATGTAAGTGAACATAATGTTATGTTCAAGAGAGAAAAAAATTAATCTTTCTTTAGAATGAATGGTTATGGTTGTTTACTTCAAACCACTTGCCCCTCAATGCTGTGGGTTTGAATCCCACCAGGGACTTTAGATTCTTTCATGTGAGGAAGCTATCTACTAGCTTACGGAACATTAGTGGCTCATCTCAGGTGCCTGTTTGTCCCTGAAATAATGCACAGAGGGGCACCTGAGGTCTTCCTCCATCAGTAAAGCAGAAACGTCGCCATATGATCTTTAATGTGTTGGTGTGACGTCAAACCCAATCAAAAAATAGAATAAGATTTTATGCTGTGAAAAGTTCTAATATGCTAATATGATTTTTAAAGATGATTAAGTAGAAAATTGTTTAATTTTTATATATAATTGTGTTTATAGTACACGTATTAGTAATGTCCCATTAAACTCTGTCCATGCCAGCAATGATAGTGACTTCTGTATACCACGAGTATAGAGCCCAGCTAACTTTCACATCTGTAATGTTTGACCAGGCTCTATACTGTTGGTGGCATAATTTTAGTATTTGAAAAAGAAATCCCTTACATTTACTATGGACAGTTTCAAGTTCAAAGAAAGATAATACACGTAAGTTGACTATACTTGTTGAGTAATTTGTAAATTTTATGGAATCTCTATTATTGTGTTAAATGATGTTGTTTTTGACTCAGCTTAAATTCTTCACTAACTTGTACTCTGCTGGAATTAAACATTATTTTGCCACCTATATAGAGTCGAACTAGACTGCACATCTATGTAGTCTGACTAGGCTGTATACTGTTGGTAGCTCTATTTTTGTATTTTGATATTGAAATCCCTAAAACTTAGAATGAACTGTTCCAAATTCAGTATAATTCAACATGTTAAGGTCTAAAATAACATCTACACAGAATGTAAAAAAATTTAACATTGATAATGACTATTGTTGTTGTTGTTTTTTCAGTCTTCAAACAGATATTTGTACATCTTTATGTGAAGTTTAAATGTAAATATTAAGTTACATGCAGGAGGCACAAGTTTACATAATGAGCAACATAGAAATATACTTTATAATAATATAGGTTCTGATACTGTATAAATGCCATGCATGTTATATAAAACAGTATTACAGGGGGGAAAAATTAGGAAAAAGAATAAGACAAAACTTACAATGATTCATTTGTACACTATGTGTAAAGACTGTATTAATTATGCATTTTATTTCAATCGGACTGCAAGTAAGGACTGTGAATCTCTTTTTTATAAAGGAGGATAACATTTAAATTTTATACAAGTTCTAGAACATTGCTATCAAGTCTGTTACAATCATGTTAACAATTTTTATGAAACAAATTTTTCGAGATAATTATTGAAAAGAATTGTTTAAATTTTTATAGTCACATGTTGTTTTTTATGCTTTGACCATGCATACCCTTCACTCAGGGTCGTTATAGAAATGCCATTTACTTTGTTCATTTGGCATGCCATTACCTCAAGGTCACAGGCATATCTGTCATTCAAGGTCATTCATTTAGCATGACCATCAGTCAAGGTCACATACATAATATTCATTAAGTATCCCGCACAATATTTGCACATAAACTTTGTAAGCTATTCAGTTGGTATTACACGAGGTCACTGGAATTTTGATAAATGAGTGACTCTTATCAGGTTATATGACCATTTCTTGTGCTTATTTCTGCTTTGTCATGTAATGTTATTTGAAATATGTTATGTTGTATAAAAGATTGATTTATGTTTATTTATTTACAATGAATTTTAAAAAAGAGTTGAGATACAAATAAAACATATCCGTATTGTTATGATAGAGTTGTTTTTATTAACAAGATGTTGATTTGTATAATCAAAAGCATCCAGATTGGTAATTTTGTTAAGAAGTCCACACTAAAGAAATTATGGCCAACCAAGTATTCCATGATAACTTGATGTTACCTTTTGAAACACATTTTTATGTTCCCCGAAGGGTGAGCATATAGTCACCGCTTTGTCCATCCTTCCGTCCATGGATGTCCGTCCACACTACCGAATAGGGATAGAGGCCATCTAACTGTAAACAGAACAAAAGAGAATATTTAAAAGAGTTCATTCCGTAACAATAGAAGAAGGGGCCATTGGCCCTCTATAAAACAATAAAAGATAACAAAAGAAATGGCCCCTTATTCCATTTCGGCTGGACGTCTGTCCATACAAACCCAGAGGTACTTGTGTGACTTGGAGAACAATGGGTAACAGTAAATTCTCTTTGATCCTATTCATTCCGTTTTTACTTGTGTGTCTTTTTTTTAAGCCTTTTGTGACTTCAAATGGCTAAAAAGATCAAAGGAAAAGTCTCATGAGTACCATTTTGTAAGTACGTCCGTCTGTCTGTCCGCTTTTCTTGTCTGGGACATAATTTTGAAACAACAAGAGGTATCAACATGAAACTTTGTAGGTAGATAGATCTCATTGAGTAGGTGTGCAGTGCACAAGAAACCTTACTCTGCCTTGCCTAATTTTTGAATTATTGCCCTTAGTTTATTTTTACACTTTGAACTTTGTCCAGGACATAACTCTAAAACTATATGAGGTATCAACATGAAACTTTGTAGGTAGATAGATCTCATTGAGTAGGTGTGCAGTGCACAAGAACTGTAACTCTGCTGTGCCAATTTTTTTAATTATTGCCCTTTGTTTATTTTTACACTTTAAACTTTGTCCAGGACATAACACTAAAAGTATAAGAGATATCAACATGGAACTTTGTAGATAGATAGATCTCATTGAGTGGAGTGCATTGTTAAAGAACCATAAATCTGTCTTGCCTAATTTCAGAGTTATTGCCCTTTGTTCATTTTGACACTTTGAACTTTGTCCGGGACATTACTTTAAAATTATAAGAGATATCAACATGAACCTTTGTAGATAGATAAATCTCATTTGGGTAGAAGTGCAATGCTAAAGAACCATAACTCTGCCTTGCCTTATTTTGAAATTATTGCCCTTTGTTTATTTTTACTTTTGTCCGGGACATAACTCTAAAACTATTAGAGATATCAACATGAAACTTAGTTCAGTTCAAAATAACATAACTCTGCCTTGCCTAATTTTGGAGTTTTTACCCTTTGTTCATTTTTTTATACTTTCCTGTGTCCAAAACCTTCTTGGGGAGCATCACCCGATTCAACCGGTTCTCGTCTTTAGTTTCTATTAATGTTGTATTTTCTGGTTGAGGTTTTAAGCATTTTAATATGTTTGTCATTCATAAATCAGTAAAATATTTAGCTTAAGGGTCCATCTACACTTCCTAATGTAGCAAGTTCGCACCTAGGGAATTTCACCTGTACCCTGGCATACATTGAATACAGCTCGAAGATCTGGTCACCCTATGCCCAAGTCCAGGATCAAATTGAGTCTGTGCAACTTCATGAAAAGTGTCAGACAGACATTTATATTTATAAATTTTTGCAAAAGATGCTTCAGTAAACCTATGCCTACTTGATAGCAGATGCATGAATAAATGTATTTTTTAGACCAGGCTTGGTTCTCTTAGCACTGATACATGCGAGGATTACCTGGGTTTCTTACCAGTATACCTCTAGGTAGGTTGGAATTACTGAAAGTGTTCTGAAAAATCCCAAGGGTGTTACTCTGGATCAAACCCGGAACCTCAGGAGTGACAGTCAGTGGTCTAACCAACTGACTTGTTGCGCCATCATAAATAACAGTTATCACTTATATACAAATCTGATACTGTTTTCAAATTCACAGCGTCTTGAAGATCTGCTTTACCACAAGTCCCACCATAGCCTGCCTTACTTCTACAGTTTGATAACAGCAAGCATAGATAACTTGTAGTTTCCCTTTTCTCCAACATATGTTTTCCAATGGAATGACATATAGACACCTTGCATGACTTCCAACATGTTTTGACTTAGCTCTGCAAAGCCCTGATTACTTTTTTTTTAATCCATTTTACTACTGTTAACCACTTAACTCTATACATTTTCATTTTTCAACATTCCTTTTCTCGACACATGCCTATTCCTATCGCCTGTCACAGTTTTTATTGGATAAATTTAAGTCATTCTCCCAATTAAGTGGGTTGACATGAATGAAAGAGGAAAGAACATAATTTTTTGATGAAAGTTTAACAGCCTGTTTGACTAATATAAGAATAATTTGGCCTAAAACATACCAGTTTAAAACAGATGAACACATAAACGTATACAGTAGAGATGAGTTTTAATCAATATACAATAATACATTATTGCTTGATCTGGTGTTTCAGCCTACTTTTAAAAAATTGGGACTGACTATATGCAAGAGGTATGGTGTAATTTCCGTGTTTAATTTAGGTAAATGGTTAAATAGTTGTTTAGACTTGATGAACCTCCAGTTTTACTTTTACTATTTTAGTGGTATTTATGTACGAAACGTTAAAATATAAACTGATTAAAAAATTTTTTTTCAGAATTAAAGGGAAAGTTTATTAGGTATTTGCCATTTTTCTTTTGATTATAATACATTTTTAGAAATTCTTCTTTTTCCACAACTTGAGGATTTGATAAATGCGTAAAAAAGGAAAAATCGGCCCCATTTAAAAATAAACCTTTATAGAGGTGGGAGTAATGTAGTAAAGGTTTAATTGGTTTTTGCTTTTTAAACTGTAAAAATAATATATTTTGGAAATATTCGCAAAATTACCCCTGGCACAGATGGGTTTTATTAACACTGTTTGTTAATACATATTTGCTTACAAAATTGCAAACATTAAATGGTAAACTTAATGATCAATTTAAAATTTATTACAATATTTCTGTGGGTTTTTCCCGAATTTTATCCTCTTATACTTTTCTATTGTTTTTGTTATACCTAGTTTTAAGTACACGGATAATACGCAAAGGGACCAGGGTTATATGGAATTTTGGGGATTAACTTTGGAGTGTAAATTGTTTAGTACTTTAATATACCCACATGTTGCAATAGACACTTAAAAATAGTTTAAAAAAATTCAACTGGGTTTAACTCAGACCTCTAACAGGAAACGAGGTGTTTGATCAAAAAATTATTAAAAATAAATGCTGAACAAAATATAGGGGCATTTCCCTAAATATTGTTGACGTTTTGCATTTTTCGAGTTTGTAATTTTTATTAAAAATTCTATTTCTTACAGATAACCTGGTGGTTTAAAATTTAAGTAACACACAAGTACGAAAACACTCGGGTACAGCCCATCGAAAAATAAAAACAATATAGAGGTAATTGTAATTTGAGGTTGCGAAAAGACTTTTCATATTGTTAAATTGTGTGTATTTTGTTTTTTGAAGTGCAAAAAAATAAATATATTTTTACAGATACTTCGCAAAATTACCCCTGGACTTTATATTTTGTGGATTCGTACTCAAGTCAGATCGTACAAGTTAACAAATAATTTGTGCTGAATCCAATTAAATTATTGCAAGCATTAAAATTTGCTGACTTAAGTTATCACGAGAAATTTAAAATTAAAAACCAGATCACCTCAACAGCTAACAACGCTTTTTTAACACTGTTTAACTTAAAAAAACAAAACATCAACAAATTACAAAACAAAGAGATATTAGTGAGTTTGCCTATAAATTAAAACCCTTGTTAGACCACAACTTGTGTTTCTGACAACCTTGCTATGCGGGTTGGGAAACATTTACTCAAATATATATTAAATTGAAGATTTCAGGCATAAGATTTTATGTTACTTATCCGCGTAACTCGTTGATTGTGTATTAATTGCCATTTAAGCCAAGCACAAACTTAGACAGACATAAAGGAGGACTCCTCAAAGCAGCCTAACAAACATGTTAAGTCAGGTACAGTGGCATTCGTGAAACAGAATGATTGATGCCAGGTTACTGATGTTCCGTAAGATTGTTCATGGACTGGTTGCAGTTCCAATGCCTCCCTACATATAGTTATAATATATATATATGATAATATGAGCAATCTGGCTCACTACTGTAGACACATGCATCACCTTTCACGTAGACAAATACATCATATATATTCTCTGCTGAAAGTCCTCAATTACAGTACCCAACAACCATTATTTTTGGGGATTCTCTACCGACCAACATTCTACAAGCCTTAACCTTGGATCTGTTTAGGCAACTGAGCATTTTCACCCTATTAATACCAGGGGCCAAAATAAGGTCCCATTCCTAATCCAAAATAGCATTTTCTTCCCAATTTGTAAAAGAAAGGCTGTTTGTAAATTGTTACTTTTTAACTGTATATTTCATCTTTTTTAATAATACTATTAATATTTCTGAATTCCTCACAAATACATTTTGCATTACATTTTTTGTTCTCCTTTACATTTCTTTTAAACTTCTTGCACTGACACATACCCGCACAATAAAATGTGCGATGCAGTATCTTTAGATAGATAGAAAAGTATATTTTAGATATTCAAAGTTGAGTTTTTATTAATGTAATATTCTGTTTTTAATCAATTAATGTTATATTTTAGATGGGCAGTTTAGAGTGCTACCATATTTTAGTGTATCTAAACAAGGATCAGGATGATGCTGTGAGGGATCTGTTCAGTAAAAAGAAATGGATATATCAAAGAGAAGGTAATTTAACAAATTATGAGTTAATTGACATCACATTGCATTGACTGTTTTACGCATTTTTCATTTAATAGGGAAATGGTAATGAGGTATATCTTTGAAAATTGGGAAATTTCATATAACAAATCTATTTAATCATTTACTTTTATTAATGCTGATGTTGATAAGAAACTAACAAGATCCATCTTCGAAAATAAACAAACAAGACACATTGTTGCAGGGTTGTCATTAAGAGGCGGCAGGAGGCCAAAATGCCTGTCTCAAATGCATTATGGGCCGCCTCAAAATTAAGAAAACACTCTTTGTTATGCATGATAAGACAGAAATGACCGCCTCAAGTTCAAAACAAACCTTCTGCAAAAAATGTTAATGACAACGCTGTTGTTGGAAACAAACAAATGCCCCCTTCCCCAATCAGGGCTGGGCTCAGTAGAGGAAGCATGACCTTTGACCTTTACAAAGTAATTATAAAAAGAGTGTACAAGAATAAGGAAACAATAATGAATGCTTTTTATATTGTCATTGACAAAAATAATTAAAAACATCCATGAATTAATCTATGACTACATGTTATTTGTATGTACTTTTTTTGACAACAAGTATACTCTTCCCCTTTCAGGCTGTTGACTTGGGGGTTGGAAGTGTCAAATCTTCTGAAGGTGGCACAAAAAATATTCCTATTTATTTCAAAAAACATCATTCTATGATTATGATGAATGAAGAAAAGTGATCATCAATGTGCTTTTAAAAAATATTTACTGTTAAAAGTTAATTTTAACCTTGACCTTTAAGTTACAAACAAGTAAACACTCATCAAAAATTAAAATTGTTTCACAGTACCATATATTTAAGCCAATCATGACCTTAACCTTTGAGCTGGATACCTGACATCATCATGTCCAGCATACATTTTTAATGTAAAGTTATTTTAAAATCCATCCAGGAATGACAAGTCAGCCGTCAAAGCTTGACGAGACTATGCAAAAATGCATATACATATAATAAATACGGTGTACAAGTGTGACCTTGACCTTTGAGCTTGATTTCTGATTCTTGCATGTGGCACACTGTCATTATGTTTAACATATTTATGCCAAGTTATATTAAAATCTGTGTAGGTTTTTGACTAGAACGAACCATCAATAAATTTAAAATATTTTTGACTAGATAAAATAAACTTTTAAAAAAAATAAAGTTTTTATCATGCCTCTTAACTAACAAAAGTGACCTTAACCTTTGAGCCATAGACCTTACTCTTATGCACAACACGTCATGCCCACGCAACACATTTATGCATAATTATTTTTTTTTATCTCAATTGAGGTTTGACCTGAACTGGAACATAATTGCACTTTTTGGTACATTATTTACATCATTTTATTGTGTATTATTCAAATTATTGCAGCTAAGATGTGAAAATTTACTTTTATAGACATGTAATTATATCTATTATTGTAATACTCAGTGCTTTAAATTAACTTCTTAGATTTAATTTTTAATGACTCATTCCTCTGAATTGTATGTTAAGATTTATGATAAAGAAACTTATTTTATCTTTGCTTTTTCATTTTTTAGTTGTGAGAGAGGAATTAGTTAACAAACTTCAAGAACTTCAACAATCAAATAGGTGTCTGTCAAAGACAGGAAGGAATTCTCTGAGAAGCTCAGCACGGTCTAAATTGAGGACAGTGCAATCTGTTAAAGATGATGGTGAAAATAATAAACTTCAAAAAGTGCCAAAAGTTAAGTCAGGTAGAAAGAGACTGGAGAAAAACTCTAAAGATGACATAGTCGAGGTCAGACAGCCACAAAGACATGAAACAAAGGGTAAAAATGACTCAATAAATATAAATGTTCGTTTTTCAAAGAGCGATGAGTCACAGGAAGTGCACGAGGATAATACTGTACACGCTGCAGACACTGATACTAACTATGATGAGAGAAAAAACGAATTAAGCGGAATAGCTAGTCCTGAAGATTTCTCTGAAATACACATCCCATCATTGCCTTTGGATATAGCCAAAGGAGAAATTGATAACAGTATAAAAGATGACAACAAGTTATATCAAGGTGACAATGCAGGGACTGATAAGGACGCTGATTCAGAATCTTTACTGATGGATTTTGGTATGATTTTCTATATATTAATTTATTGGATGAATTATTAGTTCAAAAACTTTTTTGTATTACAAAAGCTGTCAGGTTTGGTACAGATATCTGATAAACGTTTCTGTAAAGATCAGTCTTAGTAAAAAGAATTCGGTATGCCTAAAAACCATAGTGAAATAAACCTTTATTACTTATCTAAATGTGTTTTAATCATCAAATTGAATAAAATTACATATTAAAATAGAACTCAATTTTAAACATTGTAGTATCTTGATAGTAAAGATTCACTATTGAATTGTGCCAACATGTGACTTGCAGTGATAATTATTTGATAGTCCCCGACTTGCTGTCTTTTTGTCCAACACTATAATTCATCATTCATATACATTTTCTTATACTACACCTTTCCTTATGAACTCTTCAAGAATTTGTTTTGAAGAAATAGTTCATAAGAATATCCCTATAGTTTTTATCAATATTCGAAATACTTATCATATATGAAAAATTTGCCCATTGTAGACCAATCCATTTTAATCTTGGAGTACTTGTTTACTGTCCAAACGGAATGTAGATATCTGGAAAGTCATATTTGCTAAATTATTTCCCTTTGAAAAAATATAAAATATTTGCCTTTTTCTCAAAAATTGTCAAAGGAATTCACTTCAAACTTAAAAATATGTGTTCCCTATCATGGGCTGGTAAGTCTGCCAACCTTTTACTTTGCAGAATAATGCCCCCCTTTTCTACTTTGCTTTTTTCCTTTATACATTATACTGGGAAAAGTGGAGCATGCTGCCCTGAGTCAGGTCTTATTTAAAAAAAATGAAGTCACCCATTGACTGTTTAATATGATTAATGTCAGATTATGATACGTTATATCAAAGCTGTGTAATGAAAATTAATATTTCGTGGAATACCTGTAACCCCATTTGATACAAGTCTTTGTTATCTAACATAGGTCAGTTAGATGAAAGCAGTCAGGATGTGAGAGAGTCTGTAGATGATAAAGGTATTAAAATAGAGGAGGCAGTAACTCAGGAACTCAAAATGGAGATTAAGGTAAAAAGCTTGTTTTCTGGCCTGTTACTTAGCATACATAATTAAACTTAGTGTACTTATGGTAAAATCTTTTTGTGTATGGAACATTTTTTAACTTGGCAAAATTGAACTATTGAGCTTTTTTCATCACCATGTATATGTAGTACTAAATAGCAATTTAAACTGATTTTTAACATTATAAACCTACTACAGTACTAGTATATGACACTGATGGGGCTATAATTTTGTAACTAATCCTACATCTAGGCGAGGGGTTAAAGTTGTTGACTTCAAACTAGTTTTGCCTCTCACCAATGTGGGTTTGAATCCCAGCAGAGACCTTTGATTCTTTGATACGGGAAAGCTATCCAGCTTATAGAAGTTAGAACGTTGGTGGTACTTCTTAGATGCCCGTTTGTGCCTGAAATATACACAGAAGTGTATCTAAGGTCTCCTTTTGCCAGTAAAGCTGGAAATTTGCCGTATGATCTTTACTGTGTTGGTGCAACATAAAACCCAACAAAAAAAACACCTCAGCAATGCATTTTTTTATGGAGAGCTATTATTGGTAGTGTTAATAACTTGTCTGGTTGATTTTACTCAGACTTATATTTTTATACATAATACATAATAATAATATACATAACTTTATGACTGTGTTTCCTCCTTTGGTTTCAGCCTGAGCTGGGAAATCCACTAGATAATCATATATACTTCGATGACAGTAATGAATTAGATAGTATAATACATAATTCTTTACCAAAGAAAGCAAAACACAGAACTTTGATGTCAAAATTAAAGAAAAAGAGATTAAAAATCTTACACAGTAAAAATGAAGACTTTTTATCGGGGAATTACAAGCAAGTTCGACTTGAAGATGGGAAAGTTTCAGCTGAGAATCTTCCAATACAGTGCTATCATTGTGACCGTAGATTTGCTTACGAGAAATATCTCAAGAAACACATCAACAGAGTTCATCCACGGGAGTCTATTGGAATGTATTGTGAATACTGTTCAGCAAATTTTAAAAGGCGTAAGTCGATATGCTTCAGAATATTTGGTTAAAATCGCAAATTATAATTTATATACAGAAATGATATATTCAATATATTTTCTCTTTTTCATGTAAAAATGTATTAAAGGTTTAAATGCAATTTAATGTAATCATTCTTTTCTAAGAATGATTGCTAATTTTGCTACAGAGTTTTATAAGAAAAAAAAACACAATTTACGCACAGGCAAAATTTTGCTACAGAGTTTTATAAGCATTGAAACACAATGTACGCACAGGCAAAATACCATGTACATGTAGTTCATTAAATTAATGGGGAAATTCCATAGGCATTTTTATTGTGTATTCAGTATAATTATTTTTTATTTTCAGGTCAAGATCTTTACGCCCATATAAAAGAAGCACATCCAGACAGGAGAAATAAGAATATACAGTGTGACCTGTGTGGCAACGTATTTAAATCGAAAGGATCTTATGACGAACATAGGAAAGCTGTTCATACAGATATTAGGGCATTTGAATGTGAAATTTGTAACAAGTCGTATAAATCATTCAGAGTGTTAAAAATTCATCGCCTTCGGCACGGACCTGCCAACGAGATTTGTAACGTATGTGGTAAAACATTCCGATTAAGGTCGGAGGTTAAACATCATATGAGGAGACATATGAACGATCGGAGAATTCAGTGCGATACTTGTGATAAAGTATTTTATCGTAACAGTGAGTTAAAAAATCATCAGCGCATTCACACGGGTGAGAAGCCGTATAAATGTACACTATGTACCTATGCGTGCACCATTAAAGGTAACCTTGATAAGCATTTACGAACACATCAGAAAAGTGGGAATTCGGGTAATACTATATTTGGGAAAAAGGGAAAAGTAAATGAGGTAATAATTCAGAGTCTTCCAAAACATTCATTAGCTAATGTTATACAAACAGAAATGGGAATAGACAATTCTTCACTTAATATATCATCGAGGCAAAATCTGAATGATACTAACATAGAATCTGTAAATCAGAACTCTGGACCGTCTGTTGTCAGTATTATTCCACACAGTGCCCCTGAAATGGTGTTAACAGTGGTTCCTGTAAATTCATCTGAAGGTCCCAATCGTAAAGAGAAAATGTTAGAGGTTTTGTCTAGTGCGGAACCGAATTTGACAAACATGTGGTTATATCATGGACTGGAACAGCAAGAAAGAGCTGCTGTTGAAACGATACAACAGTGGCAGATGAAAGGCTTTGAAATAAATCAAGGTACCGAAAATATTCCCCAGAATATTGCACAGAATTCCACGGTAAGAAGTCAAGACTTGGAATGTCGAAGGGAAGCACAAGTATATGCCCAGATGACGTCTGCTGTTAATAAGATAAAACCAGTTGAGAGGATGGTTCCTGATGTCGTTGCTAATGCAACAGCTGCAGCAGGTATACAAGTTGTCTACCCTACAGATGTGCATAACTCTCGAACTGAAGAGAAAAATGACATTCCAACATCACTGAAAGATGAGCAAATAATCACATCATCTGCAGGTTGTTATCAGCCAGGTTCAAGCTCAAATTTGTTGCCTAAATTACCAGAGATTGGTTCCCTGCAGTGGCAGCAAGTTACTGAGAAAGGAGTTGATGCTGTTTCAGCCACGTTAACAAATCCAATATACACACAGCTAAAGTCAGGGTCACAAATTATTGAAGAAAGTGATCTAACTGTAGCATGGCCTACAACCTCAACCTCAGGCAACACAATACCGCCAAACAACCACATTATTGTGCATGGGTTCCAAGGGAATATATACTAAATCTTTTATTATTTATTAAAATATTGATTGTTCTATTTATATTTTTGATCGTAAGCAATCGATTTGAAAGTGAAAAATATCAATAGGTGCATTTCATAAGTTAAATAAAATGTTTATATTGCGCTGTATGACAGGAGTTTCCTGGGTTAGATACATTTTTTAGCCAGTTTTTCTAATTATAAGGTTTGAGTATGTCAGCAGGCAGGTGGATGTGATAAACTTGGTAAGTCCAAGGGATTTCAACCAAACTTTTGCAGAACTATTGTCACTAAATGACCAAATACATATTGTTGGGATTTTGTGATTTGATCATTTTTGGCAAAATTATGGCCTTTTGTCTCTTTCTCACAGAAGTGATAGGTAGAAAACCTTGTGTGTTTTATTTTTGACCATGTCTTGTCCTGTGTATATTTTATTCATGGAGACAATATATCCTTAGCAGCTTGTCGTCTGCTGCAGATAAATATTATTAATTCATAATGAGAAATTGGCAATATGAAGAACAAACCCAATAAATAAGTACATGAATTGACTCAAAAGCATTTAATGTGGCTAATCCTAAACCTGTTCAGTTTTTATAATGGATTTACCCTGACTTAAATTTGGAACAGTTTTTAAGAGATTTTGATATCAAAATTTAAAAAAAATGGCTACCAACAGTATAGAGCCTGATCAAACTGCATGGATAATTCATTGTGTACTGTGGTTTAATATTTTTTGGGGGGCAAATTAATAAGATTTTCAGATTTCATACAAAATTAAAAAAAATTTTGTAACACTAGCAGAGGGTGTAGTAAAATTAAAATTTCTGTACCCAAATTAATATCTTTACAAGCTGGCCAGACTTACTGGGGTGACCTTTTGCTTTGAAGTTTCTAGCAGGCTTAACACCCATTCAAACAAATCAAATGTATGCTGTTAGGATATAATATATGGAATACAAAATTTACATTATGCATGAATATGTGGCAAGGATTTTAAGCTTGTATATTTTTATGGACATTGTTCAAGTCATGTTTAAGTGATATTATTTATAAAGCTAGAATTTTTAACGTAGTGTATTTTAAGGATATTCCTCTTTTTTGAGGCATGTATATATACAATGTAAAAATTATTTTATGAATATGTGACAAGGGTTTTTAAGTTACATATGGGCATAGTAATAGTCATGTTTTAGTGATATTATTTATATAAAGATAGGATTTTTAACATAATGTTATTAATGTAAGGCCCATTATATGCCCCACAAATTTTTTTTTTTTTTATTTCTCAAAATGTAATTATTTTTGGAGTACTTTTATAGTTTCCAAAAAAATAAAGATATTCATTGGTTAATTATAAACCATCTTTTTCATCTGCTGCGTTTTGGCAATAAGTATAGTTATAATGATTTTGTATGAAAGTCAAAATACTACTTTGTTTACATTTTGCTACCTTTACGACAAATTATTTCACATTTATCACCACTTTCTTCAGGTATAACAATCATCTAACCTTCTCTAAAACTATTATTTAAACATTATAAGATATATGCTTGCTCTTCCTAGAGAAGTAAAAATTTATTTATTTCTGAGGCATAATAATATAATATCTTTTATTGAGGCTTGTATATATTCAAAGGTACCAAGGTGCCATATGAGTTAAGATTAATTCCTAACATTATTCTCCCAAAGATTTCATATTTATTTATGTAAAATATTTATTTATATAAAAAAGAAAAATGTACTGTCAATGCAGTCTATTCTCCCCCCCCCAACCCTCTATTTTATTTATATTCCCCACCATCTCTGTCACCAGTAGCCCTTGGTATAAGAAGCTGTTAATGGTGATCTAGTAATAAATTATTGTTCATGCATGAGTGATAATGTGAAATAAATTATGAAGTATGAAATTGTTTGTTTAAATATTAAACCATATTCTTAAGGAATCCCCTGAATGTATTACTGAGCTGGTGTTTAAGGTACGTAGCAAATTTGAAGTATAGGTTGGTAACTACAGTATTTAAAGGTATCCCAGTAAGCTTTTTGCATTTAGTGTGTGTTTGAAGTCAAACATTCATTGTTACCTTTTAGTTAACATCTGGTGTGTTGTCGTCTGTTTAAGGTACCAGAACATAATACAAATGTATGTCGTTTGTATAGGCTGGATACAATGTCGTCTGCTGAAGTGAGCTATCTGTATAAGTTGATACAGGGTAATCTATGGAAGCTCTATAAGGAGATGATAAGTGTCTGGTGAAAGTTACTGAGGTATTGGTAAAGGTTCAACATTTGACATGGTGCTAAAGGGCCACGTAGAGCTGGTAGTATAGGCTGGATACTTATCTGCTGGTCAATTGTTAACAGCGAGTTATCATGTTAATAGTGAGCAGTAAGTTTAGACTAGATATTTGTCGTCTGTTAAAAAATCCTTGTGAACTTTAGTAAGGCTGTATGCCTGACATTGTATTGAAGATCCATAGTGAGCTGTTAGTACAGGCTGGATGTTTGTCATCTACTAAAAGTCCCTTATGAACTTCAAGAAATGCTGTATGTTTGACATTGTGATGAAGGTCTGTAATAGGCTGGATGTTTGTTGTCTATTAAAAGTCCCTTGTGACTTTAAGTTAAGGATGTATGCCTAGCATTGTGTTGAAGGTCCATAGTACAGACTGGATGTTTGCCGTATGTTGATGTTTAAAAGTGAGCTATCAGAAAAGATCGGTTGATCAGTTGTAGTCTGCTAACGGCCCAATGTGAGCTACAACTTTAGTATTGGTGCTAGCCATCTGCTGAGCATTTTTGTATTTTCTCATCGCAGATCAGTAAATACATAGCTAACATCCACGGTCTAACACAAAATTTCCTAACAGACCTAACAACGCAAATTAGTTCTCACTCAAAACTGCTTAAAAACCAGCAATTTAAAAGAAAGAACAATTTTTGTTACAAGTGTCCAACACATTACTACACATTCAAACTTTAAAAGTAGCGTTGGCTTATAGAATTGTCAATAAATGCACACTCACAAATTACGCGGATGAATATGATTTTAATCAATGAAAATGCTATTTTTAGCGATGTCGATTACCGAATACTACACAAATAAATCTGACTGCAGAGTAGTTGAATATATAGTTTCTACATGTTGGACTGTTTGGGCGAGAAGATTTTTGCTAAATTATTTACTTCAATTTTAAACAACAGGTTTACCTTGAACTAAAGATCTCGAAATTACCCTAACCCGAAATGCATTTGAAATTCTAAATTTAGAATGACTTGATTTTATTCAGCCATTGATTTTAAAACTTCTCCGTGGTGCAGGGGTAACGCGCTCGTTTAGTGTGTGAGAGGTCTGGAGTTCAATACAAGTCGAGTCAACATTTTTTAAATTCTTTTTTTAGTGTCTTTGTTAAGGAAATAGCCACGATATGCAAGGATAAAGTGTGGCTATCATAAACAAGAGCTGTCGGTAGGACAGCAACGCTCGACTATTCTTAGTGCGTGATAGTAAAAAAAATGCTTGATAGAGTTACCTCCTCCTGTTTTCAGGTTGGGGTCATGATGGTGAACAAGTGTGCAAAGTTTCAAAGCCATATGTCAATGGACTTTGAAAATATTTGAACTATTACAAAAACTTTAACGTAAATTCTAAGTCGAAAAAGGGGCATAATTCTGTCAAAATGCTTGATACAGTTACCTCCTCCTGTTTCCAGGTTGGGGTCATGATGGTGAACAAGTGTGCAAAGTTTCAAAGCCATATGTCAATGGACTTTGAAAATATTTGAACTATTACAAAAACTTTAACGTAAATTCTAAGTCGAAAAGGGGGCATAATTCTATCAAAATGCTTGATAGAGTTACCTCCTCCTGTCTACAGGTTGGGGTCATGATGGTGAACAAGTGTGCAAAGTTTCAAAGCCATATGTCAATGGACTTTGAAAATATTTGAACTATTACAAAAACTTAAACGTAAATTCTAAGTCGAAAAAGGGGCATAATTCTGTCAAAATGCTTGATAGAGTTACCTCCTCCTGTTTCCAGGTTGGGGTCATGATGGTGAACAAGTGTGTAAAGTTTCCAAAGCCATATGTCTATGGACTTTGAAAATATTTGAACTATTACAAAAACTTTAACATAAGTGGTTACGCCGACGCCGACGCCGACGCTCGGGTGACTGCAATAGCTCTACTTATTCTTATCGAATAGTCGAGCTAAAAATGAACATAAATGACTTTTTGATGCAACTCTAATTACGTATGTATCAAACTCTGGTGCCCTGCAAGATGAATTATAGTACATAAAAATAAACTTATAAAGGAAAACACATACAGATATACAGTACGATTTAGATTGCAAAGATCAGAAAATATCATAGAGCTTGCAGCCCTTTGATTTAATTAGTTATTGCTATCGGTTAAATGATTTTCACCCTCTAGGGTTCATAGTAGGCTGCTTGTATACATGTAGACGGGTTCCTTGCTATCTTTTTGATATTTATACATTGGGATGTTTGTATAGGCTGTACATTTGTCTACTACCGAATATCTGTAGTATTAAGCTTTAGTATAGAAGTATCATATTGACCGTTTACAATGATTCAATACTCTCAAAGTACTGACCAGAAAGTCTTCAATTTCCTCAGTGGTGTTCTTCTAAGATAATTACTAAAGTTTGCTTATATACAATATTAATTGTCGCCTTTACGGACCGGCCGCAAAAGCATTAAGGTCAAAATCATATTTTTTCTTGAAGTATTCAAATATTGGTACCTTACCAAGGCTTCTGGTTTTTTTTCTCCAAAGGTGTTGATAGAGCTATTTTAAAGGGCTTCCGTATTCATGAAGTATATGCCAAACTTGTGGGTACCCCTGTATTTAAATTTGGTAGGCCTCTTGTAGAAATAACAATTGTAGCAATAATTTTAAAGGAGATGTACATGTGAATAAATGGCATGTGGTATTTTTGGCAATTCTTCTGTCAAGTTTGCGAGCTGTTGGACTGTGGAAAAAAAAGAGAAATAACTGTCTCTTCATGAAATGGAAGTACTCTTTATCTAAGTATTTTGTACCATTTTACTATATAACCTTGGAAATTCGTTCGAATTGTTAATTCAGATAAACATGGGTTTGCCCCTTCTATGTAATGGCTGTTAGTGCATTCACTAATTGATATCTTGTAAAAATGTCAAACAATTTAACCGAAATTAAGGTCACATTAATGTATGTCATATTTCCGTCATAGAGTATTTTGCAAACTGGTGAATGCATATTTTAGATCCTACAGACATGACTCAATATTATCTGAGCCCCGTCATGACAGACAAAACCAACATAATGGGTTTGAGACCAGCATGGATCCAGACCAAACTGCGCATCCGCGCAGTCTGATCATGATCCATGCCGTTCGCTTACAAACCCTATAACAAGTAGAGAAACTGATAGCGAACATCATGGATCCTGATCAGACTGCGCGGATGCGCAGGCTGGTCTTGATCCATGCTGGTCGCAAACCCATTATGTTGGTTTTGTCGTGACACGGCTCATATGGACTCTCTGAATACCAACGAATTCGAAAATCTTGTAAATATCAAACATTTTCAAACTGCATACATGTATAGGGGCCTACCCTCTTACCACAAAATAAGTAACAGCATGTATAAGTTGTATACATGACTGTTTTGTCTTGACGTATCTATATTCAATTTACAAATTTAGCAATTCCTTACTGTTTTAAAGATCAATAGATATATAATACGTAATAAAAAAACACAACAAATATGTTAATATAACCATCCTAGATTTGGTTAGCACATCTTTCCAAGTCGACAATTACTACGATATTCTGGAAAATTATACGATCACCAAACCTTCCGAAACAACTTCTTATCTACCCATACAAAGATTTTTTTAAAGAAAAATCAAGAAAAAAAGGAGAGCCGGTTTATTTAGGACATTTCTGTCAGTGACGACCAAACAAGAGAGAAAAGGTGAGTGTCATATCTTCTTTACTTGCACATTAATATAAGAAAAATATATATTTAAAACAATACTAAATCCAAAATGATATACACATTTAAATTGCTATATTTGAAATTATTGGATAAAGACGGTGGTAAATAAAATATATAATATATAAACCTTTTACACTTATATAATGAGATACACATATAATTTAAATTTTGTTTTAATAAAGTGAAAACTGATAATGGCGATTTATGGTCTGTAGTATTTAAAGTTTTTGTAAATTTTTGTCAATGATATTTTTTAAAAGTATTTGATAGTGTCTAGCACAATAAAAATTCAGGTGTTTCACTTGTAGACTAAATGGGAAAATTCCAAAAAAAAATTCTTGGAGAAATATGATAAAATATAGTCAAGTCGGCTTTAACGAATAAAAAAATGAATAAAGCATACCAATTATGAATAAAACAGAATTTTACCTCTTTGGTTAAAATTTACGGTGGCACAGAAGTGACATGTATATTTTTTTCAGCGAGATAGATAAAGAAGAGCACGCGTCATATCTTTACAATCGTAGGGAACGTGAACATTTTTATTTATCTCGTAGGAACGACATAATGGAACGAGATAAATCCCATGCACGAGATGATATTTCGTTCCCATTGAGATAAATGAAAATGTTACATCTGTGCCGCCGTAGAAATTTCTCTGATGCAATCATATATTCTTGTGGATATGCGCTTATGTTGATCCCGGAGTATATCAGAGACAATATTAATGTAAAACATGAAGTCCCTTTCCATCGGTTTAATAACGCTACTCAATTCAGGTATCAAAAGTAAATTATTTTGATTTTATTACTTAAGTTTACCTGAGATCAGGAATTTTTTTATTGGCCAGACGATTTATTTCATTTTACAACTTAGTTCACCTAATGAAGTCTCGCGTTCGTTCAGAACAAGAATATTTAATTGCAATGTTAGAGTCTACTAGATGATTAATTCATGTGTCACAAACAATAAGCCGCGTCATGAAAAAAACCAACATAGTGGGTTTGCGACCAGCATGGATCCGGACTAGCATGCGCCTCCTCGCAGTCTGATCAGGATCCATGCTGTTCACTATCAGTTTCTCTTCTTGGAATAGGTTTGTAAGCGAACAGCACGGATCCTGATTATAACATGTGAGCGAAAATAATGAAAGTATTGCATGTACTGACTTTCTAAAGTGAATCTTATTCATAAAAGTATTCAATCCAAATTAAATAATCATATTATGAACCAAGTTAAGTAAGGTCTGCAAGATCCATATTTCTTTCGTTTAAATACCTCTACTTTATATTCACTAAACCCTAAACGAATTGAAATTTATTTTCCGATTAATGTTAGATGAATCATGTCATCTGTTTATTTTGAATGCTAATTTTATTCTGATCAAATTCTTGTTACAGTTGAAGTTAAAGTAATGGAACAGAAATGAACAATTTTCAAGTTGAATAGCATTGCAGTAGTTAACTATTATCCGAATGTATAAACATCGGAAAATAATTCGAAAAATTGACTTACTGAAATTATTTAGACAAGATCGAATGTATGTCAGTGGCGTGTACACGTCTCCGTATTTTCGCGTTTTCGTCTTCGTCCCTTCTTGTTGCCGACTTGCAAAGGCGATGGCCCTATAACGGAACACAGTAGTAAGGATAAATTTGACACACAGATGATGTTGAAAAACAGAGATAGATTTGAAAGACTGATGGCTAAGTTTAATTCACTCACATGCGTGTTAATTACTAATTATTTTGCAAATGCTATTTTTCTTAAAGTGCGTGCGAGTTTCCTACATAATTATATAACAGTTCATGTAATGCAGTGTATTACATTACTTTTATCAAAGTTTATCACACACCCGTGCCGATTTTGCGACTCCGTAAATATGGTATTGCACGGCCGTGCATATATTTTGACGTGACGTCATTAGCGTTATATAGACATAGTGTAATGACGCGCTAAATGTTAGCGTTATACTATAGGCCCGTCAATGAAAAATGACTCTTATTTCTTTTGAAACGGTCTTTATTTTGGGTATGTGATAAATAGAATATTAAATTCGTGCAAGTTCATTATTGAATTTATTGCACTCGTTGAATAAAATAATATTATGCTCGCCAGAGGCTCGCATAATATAATTTTATTCAACTCGTGCAATAAATTCAGTATTGAACTTACACTCATTCAATATCCTCTATATTCGTAATGGTAATGCAATGTATTATATTTAAAAAATGAAAAATAAATGCGATTGTACATGCAGTTGTAATGAAATGCACATATATGGCAATGTAATTGCTATACATTACATTTAAATGTAATTGACCCCAACCGTGTGTTTATGTCAACAGTTATGTTTTGTTTCAGATTGAAGCTGTTCTTTTTTAACAGAAATGGATAAAGAAGGCAAAAACGTCGGCATGACCCTCTTCTCTACGGCTAAACAATGGTTTTTATCCCAAGCGGACAAACAGACGAAAATAAACAAAGAAGAAAACATATCATCTCCTAATCAAAGTAATCATGGTGAAATGTCAATTTCTAAAAGTAATCAAAGCTTTTTTAACGAAAGCAAAAGGCTACGTCAAAGGGCTTCCGTGAAATACGAGAACAATTTGGGCAACGAGATAGAGTTTATACCCCCAAAAACGCACCCAACCGCCAGAAGCTTTAAAAAGGATGCTCTAGAATCCGTTGGCTTAAATATTAAATCATCAAAAAGTGTAGGATGCTTGCAGGCTTCAAAAACATCACTTGTTCCACAATGGGTTGATATTCCGAAGATAACAATTAATCAAAAAAGTGAGACCGAGATGAAAGTTCAAGATGTCCCTCATTGTTGTCCGACATGTGGCCAACAGTGGCTGAGAGATAAGCCTGAAATTTCCGCCTCTGACCTGAAAGTATTCCAGTGGGACTGCCTGCCACATAATGACATTGAAAAGAAATCTAAATCTCCTTTACTTTCTTCAGAGAATGATTACATGTCTGGCTTGAAACGGTCCAGTTCTTTTGTGCATAAGCGGAGATCACAAACACAAAATAATTCTAGATCAAGTAGAGTTATAAAAGCGGCATCACTGATGAACGATCCAATACGTAGTCCATGGACACAGTCCGAGTCAAAATTCAGACGCCTTGCATCAAAAGAAAGCACCAAAAGTGCACCATCCCTCAAGCGTTGTTTGTCTTATAATGTGGATAGTTTCAGGTCTGCCAGAGGTGACACCGGTGAAGACGTAAATAGCATAAATTATTCAAAAGAACAAAGGAGCTCCTTCAGACGCGATACCAGCTGTGAAAACGATACAGGCTGCGAGGAAACTGCATCGTGTCCTGGTTCCGAATATGATGACATCATCAAATATTCCCCAAAACTCACCAAAGAAACAAAATTTGTAAACGGATGTCCTATTGACGAGTTTAAAACAATATTTGATGCGGAATGTTTCAGAATCCCAAGTATATACGGACAGCTAAAGATAATGTTCCAGTTATTCAATGACACCAGCGAGTTCCAAGTCACCATCTTGGAAGGGTCAAATGTAGCTGTTGAAAATGAAAGCGGCAACATTGGGATATATACTAAAATATGTTTCATGCCGGGGAAATTGCAGAAGAAAACGGGTCGTGATAAGCATTCCACACGCAATCCAGTGTTCTATGAATCGTTCATATTCAAGACCAGCCTGGCTCAGTTGTTGGAGTCTCAATTAAAGATAAAACTGTACAATAAGCCAGGCATTCTCTCTATTCCTGAACCAATTGGACAGTGTATTGTGCCCCTCTACAATTACGACCTCACCGCAGTCAATGTTATATGGCAAAATCTCCAGAAGTGCAAAGGACAGAAAGTAAGACACTCGTTTGTTTAATTACTTCCGTAATTTTAATTAACCCTTTACCTAAATTTCTTCACGTTTCTTGCCCAGCTTCCAATTTTTAACAGTACTTTATTATTTTTTGAGACATCGACACGTGAATAGCCAGAAGTATTTAGAGCCTGGCAGAAGCTAATCACCTTTAAATTTGGTTCTAATATAATATTTTAGTTAAAGGGACTCCACTGAGGTTTTAAATTATTGACTTGACTGGACTGAACATATTCCTTCGACATTAATATTCCATTTGATGTAGGTCTAGACATAACTTGTATGCATATTTCAGATCATTCAACCATCCTGTTTTTCCTGAATATTCTAATTGTGAAAAATGACTCAAAAGTGAAAAGCGTTGTCACGCGTTACAACGCTTTTCACTCAAATCGGGATGAAAATACTATAAAATACGATTCTCAAGATATATTTTTATTAACTTTTGCCTATCTTACTGTTTTAAAGAGTCCCAGCTTACCTATGTAAGAAATTCAAATTTTATGCTTTTAGGCTTTTTGACCTCAGTGAAGTTCCTTTAATGATTGTAATAAAACTTCGATCATTGCTAAATCAGAAGTCTAAGCTGAAAAATCAGTTGTTAATGTATGATAAATATACACGCACATATTATCATAAGTCTTTCTTGAACTCGCATGATGTAATAAAATACGACCCTTGTCATGAAATCTCGTTTAAACGTATAAGAAAATGTTAGAATATTTATTGCATTAAAAGAATCGTATAGTTTTATAGTAACGAATGTTTTCAAATGTCAGCAATATATCTGCAAATGTTAAGTCTACATTGATTGCAGTTGCATGTCATAACTATGGAAAGCCATATCGGACGCCTGTTTCTATATTTATCCAGCGGTCCTTTTCGTCAAACTTCGGATAAGCACTTTAAATAATCGACGAGGCATCGTCTTCAAAAAACTATTTAACAGCCGCCTTATATATAGTAAAGCGATGTCACACGACTGTCGTGTGTGTATATGTGTGTATTTTATTTTTATTTTGTAAGATTTGGTAACGGGTCTGGTGCCCTTAATGACATATACATGTTACTTATATACAGGTTTACTATTTGTTTATGCTCAAATTTGATTTTTTATTGTTAATCATTTGCTTATTAGAGGTTTAGATACCGTTTGTTGGAATGTTCATTCAGAAGCGGTCCGATATGGCTGTCCATACATAAAAAGGACAATATAAATAGCATTTCGATCGCATCAAGGGTTTATATTTCTATTTTTAGTGAAAGTAAAATACACTTTTTTATGCAAGCTCATTTTTGTCCTGCAGGATGACATGGACGAATTCGACTTCAGTTACTTTGAACGAGATAAAGTCAAGAAGAAAAGGCAGCTTGGAAAGTTCTTATGTGGTTACAGTAGTCCAGAGTAATAATTAGCTAAATGGACGCTCAACATCACATACTCGGGCAAGACAAGTATTACGGACAATTGAATATTCCTTATAGGAATTTAATGACTAACATTTAGTTAACACAAGTCTCTTTTAAATGTTAATTCAACAAATAATAAAATGAATAGCTTAATCATGTAGTCAACAAAAGTGCTTTTATATTTTTAAAGTTATTTTAACAACTTATTAAAATAATGACTTTATCACTTAGTCAACAAAAGTGTTTTTAATGTAAATTCAACAATTATTAAAATAATGACTAAATCGTTTAGCTAACAGAAGCATTTTTTGGGGGGTTTTTTGGTGTAAATTCAACAAATACTAAAATAAAGATTAAATCATTCAGTCAAGTGTCTTTTTTAATGTCAATTGTACAACTTATAAAATTCCAGATATTTCGCTTACTCCGTTTTTCCAGAATAATTATTATAATCAAAAGTGAAAAATATTGCAATGCTTTTCACTCAAATCGAGCAAAGAATATCACACAAATACGATTTTCAATTCATTTCCATGTATAATTTCTTTTGCAGGTCTTTCTGTTTTAAGAGCTTCAAGACTGACAAATGAGCCGCGTCACGACAAAACCAACATAGTGCGTTTGCGACCAGCATGGATCCAGACCAGCCTGCGCATCCGCGCAGTCTGATCAGGATCCATGCTGTTCGCTTACCAACTCTATTACAAGTAGAGAAACTAATAGCAAACAGCATGGATCCTGATCAGACTGGTCTGGATCCATGCTGGTCGTAAACGCACTGTGTTGGTTTTGTCGTGACGCGGCTCAAATGTTATGTTTTTAAGCTTTTGGACCTCAGTTGAGTTCCTCAATTCAACTTTAAAAATATTTGGGAGCCAATATCTTTGGATATCTGCAGTTGAACTGCGACAATGCATCATTTTAATTTTAAACGTAAAGCTATACCCATTACACAGTTACCTCTCTTCAAATTCTACGTTTTTGTGTATTCATAGGCAAACCCATGTATCTTTCTTTTTCCTTTTTAAAAAAAAGGCAACAATGTATTTAAATTATAATAATTTGTTCAAGACCGAGTATTCTATACTTCAAAAGTCTTTCTTCAATGTGCTTGACCTTAGAAGAAAAATCCAACTGTAAACTTTAAAATTTCTTTCAAAAAAAATTGTCAAGACTTGTTAACGCAAATAAATTCTGCACGATTGTATGGATTGGCATCAGTGTCAATAAATTCTACACGATTGTGTAGCAAAAATAATTCGCATTACATTGTATTATATATGGATTGTCATCATATCATTTTAAGTTAGCTTGGAATATGGATTTTTTTTTTTTTATTTCTAGGATAGCCAGTTTTTCCCAACATCTTGCACATTTCGCAATTGACGTAATGTACGATAGTGCATGCTATCCTCTCTTATATTCTATTAAAAAAAACAACACAAAAATTTATCTGCCTCTTTATTTTTGCCTAAAGTAAGAAATGTTTTCAATAAAGATTACAGAAATGAAATAAAATGTTCACATTATCTATACAATTAAAATGTTAAAGCTGCATGCCTCCAGAGTTTCTAAAGACTTTCAAGAAAGTCAACAAAGTTGATAAAAATGTACTCCACTTTTAAGAAAAGCAGTTAGATTCAAGAAATAATTTTACATGTTATATTTTACAATTTATTATTGACATTGCAGTATTTATTACTATATTTCTACTTCCTGACTAAAGCAGTAAGGCTAGTTTTACATATTTCGACCTTTTTTCCGGTAATTTAAGTAGACTGTCAGTGTCACTCTTTAACACATTTTAAAACTTTTCATGAAAATTCGCATGAATCTGGAGGCATGCTGTTTTAACCATACTTCATTAACAATTATAAGTATTGTCTTTTATCATTTTTATTTCATTCTGCAGCTTCTTTGCTCTTCTTCTTTTTCTTCTTTTTCTGCTTCTTGCTGGGACTTTCTGTCTCTTGGGTTGTCTCAAGTTCCTGACTCGTTTCCATGGTGACATTAGCCTCATTTTCATCTGAAATTAATAATACAAAGTCTTATTAATCATCAGCCAAGCTTCAGTCATTCACCTTTCTTTACATCACCTACCGTCAGTCACATATAAACAGGAAATTGCCAAAGGAGTGAACATTTTTTCTTCAAGACTAATTTACAATTTTCTCAAGGAAAATGACGAACTATAAACTTCTAAACAAACATTGTTTTAAGAAGGGTGCAGGAGATATAGAACTAGATATTATATTTTTAAACTACATGTCACTGAAAAACATGATCAACACCTTGTTCTTAAAATCCTTGGACCTGAGCACTTAAAACCTCGCCTTCTCCATACTGAGCTAACAGAGTAACGGTTATTGATGTGTCTCATAAAACAGGTAACAGAGGGGAAAAAAATCCCCCAATCCCCCTAAAAAGATTAGACTTTTACCTGATTGCCTCTTTTTCTTCTTTTTCTTAACAGGAGGTTCGCCTTCAGCTGTTGTATTTAAGGTTGTGTTTCCATCTGTTTCCATGGAAACATCACCACCTTCTTGCTTCCTTTTTTTCTCTTTCTTCTTTTTCTTTTTTTCTTTCTTCATCAGGTTGGCCTGTACTACTGCAGCCTGCAAACATGCATAATTGCATTATATATAGAGGATATTGAATGAGTGTAGGTTAAATACTAAATTTATTGAACAAGTTGAATAAAATTTTATTACGCAGCCTCTGGATATATATGTATAACGAAAATGATGTCACATCAAAATATCTGCACAGCCATGCAATACTGTTTTCAGCCGAAAAACTGGCAGGGGTATGTGCTAAAAAGCAATAGTATCAAAAAATACAATTATTAAATAATAACATCATCAAATATATATTTATATCAAGAAACTAGAACTCCGCGAGTCGGATGTGTCGCCTTGTGAACAATGTAGTTTAGGGGAAATGGCCAGGACAAAAATGAAATATGAAAAATAACAAAGGGCAATAACTAAAAAAATAATAAGTGCAGAGCAGCAGTTTCTGTACACTGCACTTCTTATCAATAAGATCTATCATTCTATGATGTTTCAAGTCCATAGCTTTCATACTTGAGGAAAAATGACCAGGACAAAAATAAAGTAAGAAAAGCAACAAAGGGCAATAACTCAAAAATAAAGAAATGCTGAGTATCAGTTCTTATGCACTGCACTTCTTTTTAATGAAATCTATCATCCTATGAAGTTTCAAGTCCATAATTTTTATACTTTCAGAGAAATGGCCTGGACAAATATTAAGTATGAAAATAAACAAAGGGCAATAACTCAAAAAGTAAGAAATGCAGAGTACCAGTTCTTGTGCACTGCACTTCTTCTTAATGAGACCTATCATCCTATGAAGTTTCAAGTCCATGGCTTTTATACATTAGGAGAAATGGCCCGGACAAAAATAAAGTATGAAAATTAACAAAGGGCAATAACTCAAAAATTAGGAAGTGCAGAGTACTGGTTCTTGTGCACTGCATTTCTTCTTAATGAGATCTATCATCCTATGAAGTTTCAAGTCAATAGCTTTTTTAGTTGAAGAGAAATGGCCCGGACAAAATTAAAGTATGAAAATTAACAAAGGGCAATAACTCAAAAAATAAGAACTGCAGAGTACCGGTCCTTGTGCACTGCACTTCGGGTTATTGAAAGAAGCATGCATACCAAGTTTGAAGTCAATCAGACTTATAGTGACTGAGTTATGCTCCGGACAAGCTTTAGCGGACGCCGACACGGACGCCGCCGCCGACAAAAGTAACCCCTATATGTCACCTTTTCAAGGCGACACAAAAAGTTAACACTCTTTATTAACCATAACCTTCCTAAATATCTTAAATGGACTCATCCATCTTTCAATCTGGACATAATCATTCATCATTTTCAGGGAAAATTTCAAAACATGTACTGAATAAACATCAATCAGTGCAGACCATGATCATATGACAGCATGAATGTGCTGGCTGATCTTGGGTCTCTTCTTGTCATAATGGATCGGATCTGTTGCCCACAGCAGGTTAACGGTTAGTTCACTGTACAAACATCTGTAAACACACATTGAGGCAGTGACACATAATAAGTATTCTGTATTTCAACAATGAATAGAAGAGCTACAAAAGCCATACCTCCTGCATTGCATCATGCATAACATCAATGTTTTTCTTCGGAGCTTCTCCTGTCTCATAAAACTTGAGTCTATCTTCTACTTGTTGACGTAGAAACTCCCCATACACTGAAGTTGGAATATCTGACAAAAGAAAAACAAAGATTGCAAGATAAGCTTTATAATACATTCAACTTGAACCCATAAACAATTGTAATACAATGTGTTGTTTTTTTTTCCTGTAACCTTCAGCACTGCAATTAACAATTTTACATATTCTTAATTAAAATAGATACCCAGAAAGGATACATTGACATTTATAAACCATATCTTTAGTTATCCTGGCAGTACTGAAAGGCATACTTTCCAAAAATGCCAACAATATATAACCAGAACAACTTTCTTAATTGATGGTTATAATTAAATTAAACATAAGTAAACCTTTCTTAACATTTGAATAAAAAGAGGTGAGTTGGCCTAGTGGTTAAGGTATCTGCCTCTTGACCGGATTCTAGCCCTACTGGGACCACAACACCGTTTCCTTTAATATGTATGTGACACCAGAGCTGGTTAGTTCCATGCAGCATCCAGCTGTCCTAGTTAGCTACCAGTTTATTACAAATTTCTTTACAAGAGACCAACTACTAATTCACATTATTTCTAAATCTGTGACGACAAATAACCATTAACCCCCACCCCTGCCCCAGTTAATTGGCATGGGAAAATCTCACCTTGCCTCATGATCGCACCAGTGACCCATAGATTACTAATCCTATATTCTCCCAATTGATTTTAGCAGACATAATACAATAAAGTAAGAGGTTAACTTACCTGAGAAACAATCTATACGAGATGCAATTGAACACTTGTTGGCTAGGTATCTTGAAATACGTCCCTTATTTTTGGCTCCGGCACGCCCAATAAATGTAGAGTGGAAAATGAGACCATACTTTGGTGTATTACCACGAGTTTTTAAAGCCCTGAAATACATTAAACACAGTGATCGTATTAGAGTAAAATGACAATATCTTTAAAGTTAACAATTTCAATACTTATTTGACATTTCAATACTTATATTTGTTATTCTCAAACATTTACATGATAAATGGGTTAATAAGTTACCTGCTTTAATTTAAGAACTATTGATCTGAATAATAGTCAAACTTTATTTAAGAACTACTTAACAATTTCTTTATAATAATGATAAAAAAAAGAAAATTATATATCAAAATGTTTAATTTTTCAGTATCATAATGTTAAATTAAACAGATTTCAATATGAAACTGCTAAAATTCGCAGACAAACAAAATATAGTATTGTCTGAATAGATGAATTTACCGAGTAGCCAGACTCTATGCTGTTGGACAAATCCAACAATACAAGATTTAAAACATCTTATTCACACTAAATGTGTTCATGTAGTGGTCACCATTATATTTCCAAATGCATTAACAGGGTTCGTACAGACATCCAGTATCAAAATTCAAGGACTTTTTAAGCAGTTTTTAAGCATGTTTTTCCATTTTTCAAGCACAATTTGTTGCGTCTATATCCTACACAATGTTTAACCAATATTAATTTATAAGTCATTTCTTGTTGAAAATACATTTTCTGGCTACAGTTTCTATAGAATAACAACAAAGATAGCAACAAATACAAACTTAACTGCCACCCTGTTGTATGGCCCCCTGTTAAACCCCTAACTTCAATATATCATAAACAAGATCGGGTTTTTTTTGTTTTGTTTTTTTATTTGTTGATTTTTACCGACACTAGTCTGTCATTCAATTATTTTCAAGCACATTTGTAGCGAATTTAAGCACTTTTTAAGCACTTTTCAAGAGAGTTTTCAAATTCAAGGACTTTTAAGCACTTTTTATCATTTTTAAGCTCTGTTTTAGAAAGGGACTGAAATTTAAGCACTTTTTAAGACTGTACGAACCCTGATTAATCTCAAGTTCTTGATTATGTTATGTATATGGGGCATAACTCTGTTAAAAGGTAACTCAAAGTGTTATGGGACCTGTACCCATCATGTATGATAATCACAGTGAACAAGTTTGTTAAGTTTCAACCAATTTCCTTCAGTAGTTTTAATGATACCAACTTGGGCACAAAAACTTAACCAAAGTGTGACCGTGATGCAAATGGCTGGTGAGTACAATAGCTGTCCCTACTCTTTGAATACTAGTCAAGCTAAATATATTTGTTGTTTACCTGAACAGAGCTTTTTCAGCACCAAGAATCTGTACAGTAGAAGCTGGGTACTTGGCCAGATTTGTCAAACTACCAGCGTGTGCAATAAGCCGTGCTCCAACCTGTTTTATAATTGAACAACAATCATTTTTATATCTATATATTATGATTTACTTCCTTGAATTTACTTGTTCTTAAACTTGTTATTAAATAACAACTGATAATTTGTGTGTCTGGTAATAAAAGGTACTTGAAATCAGAGCTTGACAGTATAATACTAGTGACTTGCACCACATTCACAAAAAAGTTTTATTCAGTTAGGATTTTTGCTCAATGACACTAAATCATGACTCCAAAAGTGTATCAATGAATACATTCAGTGAGTAGTGAGATACTAAAAACTGGCACAAAAAAACGTTCCAGTTTTTCAAGGGTTATGATTGCAACTAATGATTGAGATAAAATAGGAATAATTTCATCAGTTTGATTGATTATTATAAATCCAAAAGTAAATTCTGAACCAAATTCATGCTTAACCTTTGAACACTTCCATGAAAAGCTTTAATAGAAATATCAAAGCCAAGTTGAAAAGTGGTGTTTCTAACATTCCAGCCTAAGATATAAAAGTTTTCCACTCACCTGTTCACCAATTAGGGTAGCAAGATTCGGTGCACATGATGCCATTTTACTCTTCAAGTACTCACTAAGTGATTTCCTGTACTCAACAAGGGAGATAACTTTGGAGGCAAACATCTCTATGTTGACCAGATCCACCACTGATATATCCATACCTGTAAAAACATACAAAATTCAGTTAAAACTCAGTTTAGAATACACTTCAACAAGAGCTGTCAGTAGGACAGCTTCGACCATTCTCAGTGCTTAGCCTGGATAGTGTAGAATTTTCTTAGTTTCAAAATGGCCTATAATACTGTCAGAATCCATATTAGAGTTATGGGCCATGGATAGTGACCTCTTTTTAAGCCCTCAAATAAGTGTGTGAAGTTTCAACCCCATTCCCTTCAGTAGATACCAACTTGAACGAAAAAATTAAACCAAATTGTGTCATCAACGCCTGGAGGAGTATAATATCTCTCCCTATTCTTCAAATAGTCAAACTAAAAATTACAAATTCAATTGACACCTGTTTTAAAAGGTACAAAAAACTTCATATGAAAGCAACATGAAAATGTATCCATAGAAGTAATTTTTGAAAATAAATTTAATTCAAAAGCAATCACTGTATCCCTTTACTGTACAGCCATCTGTTTCACTTATACATATTCACCTGATGTTAACACGTTGAGTTATTCATAAGATTCTGGCAAGTTTCAAAATATTTGGGCTACACTAAAATTTTTGCCCTACAACAACAATACTGAGATCATAATAGCTTCATTTTTTCTTTGAAACAAAAGTAGCCAAAAAATTAACAACTGACCCATGGATGACCTAGAAGCATCACAAATGGCCTGTACTTTGGCATCATCCATGACAATTTCTTCAAGCTCTGCTATTTTATCATCTGTAAATTCCTTCCTGTTTTTGATCACCTTCGCTACGGCACAGTACATATGGTTGTCATTGATAATCTTAACAAGTTCTGGGAAATGATAGGAGTACCATTCTCTGTAATAATAATCATCGCCAATTAAATCTAATTGCAACTTTATGAAGACCTAAAAACAATTTTGAAATTTAACATTTTTGTGCAATGTATGCACGTCTTTTTATCTTAGCAATAATACAACCCCTGAAAAGCAATAACTTTTGGTTGTTGCAATTTCATTGTGATGTCTTAGATAAGGAGAAATTTTTAAAATATTGTAAAATGGTTACTGCTAATTGCAGAGATTACAAAGACTTCGCTACTTCAAAAACAATTCAAGTTTTACTCATGGACAAATATCTATTGACATATCATAGGCAGCAAAAAATCAATTGTCCGTATTGCCCAGGTTGCCCATCTGCCTGTGTGGACAAGCGAAAATTTTCAAAAATTTACTATATAAATATTGTACGGACAAATCAAGAAATGCTTCAGATAAAAACAGACAATTAAGTCAAAATCTGATTGCCTGCATGTTCACAAAATTACTTCATTATGTTTTATTTATGGTGCATGAAATTCTCATATACAAGTATGAGAGATATTTCTTCAAATGCAAATATTTCACTGTCAAATTTTCCCATATTCTCAAATTTAAAATACTCGAGGTATTTAACATTGCATAAAAAAAATCAAACTAATCTATGCAACTGTATTCGAGAAATCCAACAACAGACATGCACCTATTTCAGTTGAAAATGGAGAGACCTTCAAGTTTTAGGGTACAACAAAACATACCTAATTCTCATAGCAAATGTGTTGATGTTTTTGTCCAGCTGATCTAGTAGAGCTATACTCTGTATGATCATGTTATCCACTCTGTTTACATTGAACTTCACCTTGGCCCGAGAGTAGCTGTGTCCCAGACCAAGCTGGGCTTTGCTTGCAGATACTTCTGAAAGGCCCTTAACAAGATGTGGAAAGTGGAGACGGATACCTAAAATCAACAAAATTTTCCAACAAATCATCTTAAATAAAAATAAGACCGATAAACTTCTAATGTCATTTTTGATAATAACATAACCAAATTTATTTCCTTAAAATATTTGACATTCAAATAATCTCTCAATCTAGTACACCATCACTAATATTCTGTTTTGTAACTTACCTTCTGGTATACACTGTACCTCTAATATTCTCTGACACAACACAAAATTGATTATTTCTGGTACAACATTTATTCTAATTTTCTCTGATACTATAACTCACCTCTAATAATCTCTGGTATAACTCCTGTGTGTTGGCATTGTACTTTCAATTCTTCTACAATAGATGAACCAATCTTGGGATCAGCTACTCCAAGGACAACCTTCTGTTTCTTAGATGACTTTGGAACATTTGTTTCAATGAACACTCGGAGATCTTCATGTAAAACTCCTGAAAAAGAAATATAGACGGTCTTCTTAGTACATTATTGGGCATGTATAAATATATTAATGCAGGGCCGGCAAAATCTGCTTTTGACTTAGTAGTCCGTTTTTCTCAGAAGCATTTCTTAACATGTCCGTATTACATCTTTGTAGTAAATTCTTGAAAAATTTCCACTATTTCCGTACAAGCTGTGAGTAAGGACAATTGATTTTGCTGCCCCTGGAACTTTATGTTTCTACTTCTTTGTAAAATGTATAAATTATTAAACTTCCAAACCTAAAAATCTGTAGACAAATTAGTGCTGTCATTGATGGAAAATTTTGTATTGATATATCGAGAGACAAATATCGACGATACATCGATATATCAACTTTGACAGTAGATACAATAAAAAACATTTAAATTATCTAAGTATTATAATTTGGGATCATGGTGTTATGCATGCTTGTATTACACATTACAAAATTCAATACTACAAAATAACTGAAAGTTTGTTTTTTTCTGTTATTCTTGTCACTGACATTCTGAAAACAGAGTTTAAAGTTAAACGTAGCTAAAAAAAACTAGCAAAAAAGTAACTTGTCTTATAAGCCAAAATAGAAAGGTATATTAACTAACAGAAAGAAATTTTTTTTAGCTTGTATCGATATGTGAAAGTGTATCTATATCGCGATATTCAATGACTGCCCTAAGACAAATTATGTTACTAAAAAATTTACAATAATAAAAGTCATTAATAAAGAAGTTTCAATTCTATATGTTAAATCATTGACATCATTTTGAAATGTTTGACTATGACATGTATAGAAAAGATTAGGTGAGCACTTAAAAAAACCAACATAGAATTTACCTTCAGAAATACTATTTATGTTATCCAAGGCATTGGTACCACTCTTAAATGGTGAAAAAGCAGCAAGTTTAACAACTGACTGGAATTTACTAAGATCACCAACTCCTGCTTCTACCTCTGGTAGCAACATTCCCACCTCCTCAAACTCTTTAACCCGGAACAAAGCATACCCCGAGGCATGCTCGAACAGTATAAGCATATTCTGAGCCTGAAATAAAAACAAACCAATATCTCATTAAATTAGAATAACTATATCAAGTTATGTTATCATATCTGATTTTGACTTTAATACTTGTTTGTTTTACCTGGAACACTTTTTAATTGTCCAGATGATATTAATAAAGGAAATTCTTGAAAAAATTCTGGGCAATAATAATCAGATAATAACTGATTTTGCACCCTGTTCTGTTAATAAACAGAATGCTATACAAATGAATTTTATATGGTTTCACACCTATGCTTTGCCAAATGTATCCGAGAGATCTTTATGTCAATTCAACTGAAGTTGAAGTATTGTCATCAAAATAAGACAGTACTTAAAGGGAGGCATTGTGTGAAGGTTATCCTGGTTATATTCTTGCTTATTAGTTATTACTGCAAAAGCTAAATATATTATTTCAAGAATTACATTTAGTATACACAACCCAACACACTGCTTGCCTTGCTACTGTGTACATCAAAGACACATGTAATCTATATCTGCAGACAACTGTTATGGGCACTAGTTACTGTTGTCAATTACAGTGTTGGTGCAATTTAACCGCTGAATGTCGAATATTTACATATTTCAGGTAGGTGTAATAATTTTGTTTTGATAGTATGATTGGCTTTAAGTTTAATTAATATGTGATATAACACTTTGTAATAAAGGGATGAATGGGTTTATTGTCTTGATATCAAAATGATGTTACTGTAAATTATGTTCACTTTCACTATCATATATCTCATTTGTCTATAGCTTAAGGTCTTCAGCGTACCCGTTTATATATATGACATGACGTGAACGCTGAAGATAACCCCGTAGGGAAAGTCCACCAATAATCGTGCCAGGAATCTGACACGCTCGTATTTATTCATCGAACATGCCATGAAGTAAAGTGAAGCATACCTTGATAAAACTATATATAATCTGTTGATAAGCCAAGGATGGACAAATAAAAATCTTATTACGAACATAAACTACCTAATAGTTTCCGACAGGTAAAAATTTCGGCACTTGGCCGCCATATTGCCAAAATGTTTGACCACGTGATTACGAGATTGACCTTTATGAACCCATGTGCCTCCAATATTTTTATAAATTACTTTTTTTTAAGATATTGAAAAGCGTGATTTACTGACTTTTATCTTCAATAAAATCATATTTAAGTACTAAAAAATTAATGAAAATAAATAAAAACATTATCTTGAATAAAAATATCGAAATCATGTCAACAAAATGTTCTAAATATAGTACACAACGCTATTCAAATCTGTTCCCGCGAATGACGTCATACGAGGTCTCGCGTGGCACTTGAATGTCATGGCCGACTGTAGTCGGCGAAAATTGATGTTTTACAGTTAAAAAGGCAATTTTAATGACGGTATTAATATTTTATTACTTGAATTGGTATAGAACGATATTTAAATAATTGTTTTACCGTAAAATGCACAAGAATTGATCGGGTCAAGTGTATTTGCAAGTGAAAAACAAGAATAAATCAACTTAGGTTATTCTGGTTAGGTTTCGTAACGGGTCTAATCCAAAACTTTAATGCCGCATCTGATGAAAAACAAAAATGTTAAAAAGCAGCTTATAAAGTTTTGGAAGCCAGAACTAATTTGTCTATAACTTTTATTTGTGTACTATTTGGTCCTTTATCCTGCAGACACTCATGGGATTTGTGACAAGGCTTATGGAAGATTTCGATACATGCACTATGCGTATCATTACAGTCGTAGGTAAATTGTTGATTAAAATTAGAAAGAATCCGGGTCAGCTCGGCCCTAAAACGTACTCGGCCCCCGAGTCAGCTCGGCCCTATTCCAACTCGGCACGGGTCAACTCGGCCCACTATTCAATTAATAATATTTAGTTTTGTGTTATCACTATTTATTGTAATTATTGTAATTATTTATAATACATGGATTGACAGTTTCCGAACTAGCAGCAGACAGGCTTTCTTATAAGTAGAAGAGTGAGTAAAGATAACCGATTGCGTATCTCACTGTATTTCTGACTCGTGGTAGGTTTAAACGTAAATTTAAATACCTTCAGTGTCCAACTAACTCATTCATTCAAATTTGATTAGTGACCACCTGCAATTAATTAGAAGCTTATGATATTAAGTAAACACGTTTTTGTTTTTTATTTTTTCAATGCATCTAAGGAAACACATTTTCATTAGATCTATATTAATTTTATCGAATCTGCAAGACAAATAAATTACTTTTTTTTCTAAATATACTTTATTTCCGTAGAAGTAGATCTACAAAGTACAATGTAAAATTATATAATAATAAGATATTTCTCATTATTCATTTACCTTAACAACATGCAAAGCAAAGTTAATACGTTATATATATTTTTGTAAAGTGGGCCGAGTTGACCCGTGCCGAGTTGACCCGTGCCGAGTTGGTATAGGGCCGAGTTGACTCTTTTCCAATTAGAAACATAAGCATGGCCATGACGGCATGAAACTTTTATATTAAAATGCATTCGTAAAGGGCATTAAAGCAAAACAGGAAACGGTGCACATGCACAGAAAATTAGTTTGTTAATGTGCACTTTTACTATTTTCATATATTTTACAGACTGACGAGCCAAAATGTATTAAAAAGAGAAATTTATAAATCCCACGTGTGTTTACCATTTTTCCGGAAACTCTATCAACATCCGGTTTATTTTCTGATTTCCTTTGTTTTTATCGTTGTCTGAATTTCTAGGGTGAACACCACTAAATATTATTTAGGATGCAAAGTAGTAAAACAGTTTGCTCTATGGAATGTGGGACCTAATAATATGAAAAAGGCAAAGCCTCAAAGCGAGCTCGATGTACTTTTTACGTGAAAAAGTATGAAATGGGTATAGATGGATACCGAAAATAAAGCTATTTTCGCGAAAATAAGATCGCGGCTACGAAAATAAGATTTATTTTTGAAATAGTGCATTTATCTGTTGAAATAATTATGTAAAATATATATTTATGCATTCATTGAATGATTTTACAGCAAATTAAATTTCAGAACCAAAAAAAAAAATATTTAAAAAAGTGAAGTTTGAGCCGAAAATATTATATATCATACGAAAATAGCTCAAATTGCCGTGTAAATCGAAAATAAGATCGGGTCTTCGAAAATAAGATTTATATTTGATATAATGTATTAAAAACGTATTTTTGTTGTTAATAATTGATTTGTATGAATGAAATAATAAATTTCAGAAACAAAAAAAAATATTATAAAATGTGAAGTTTGAGCCCAAAATACCATCGTATGAAAATGGCTCAAATTGCCGTGTAAAGCGAAAATAAGATCGGGTCTAGGAAAATAAGATTTATATTTGATATAATGAATTAAAACGTATTTTTGTTGTTAATAATTGATTAGTATGAATGAAATAATAAATTTCAGAAACAAAACAAAATATTATAAAATGTGAAGTTTGAGCCCAAAATACCATCGTATGAAAATAGCTCAAATTGCCGTGTAAAGCGAAAATAAGATCAGGTCTACAAAAATAAGATTTATCTTTGATATAATGTATTAAAACGTATTTTTTGGTGTTATCAAATGATTTGTATGAATGAAATAATAAAGAATGAAATGTTTTGTAATGAAATTTTAGACGTCTGTGCGGCAAACATGGTAAATACATGTATATAAATCCGTACGTAAATATTCCGAATTTAGTATAGAAAGAACGCATGAACATATAACCAAAATTGCGTCTACGAAAATATCGGCTATATAAGATTTACATGGTTCATAACTTATATTTAAAATAGTATTAACTTTATTTTTAATGATTTTGCAAATAAATTTTAAGAATTAAGTGTTCTCTTATAAGATAAGAAATGTTTGTGGTGAAAAAGTATCAAAATATAAGAAAAAACAAGTGCAAAAATAACCTGAAACAACGACTACGAAAATAAGATCTAAATCTATATAAGAATATGTACCATACGAAAATAAAATCTAAACAGTACTCTACGAAAATAAGATCTGTAAGGAAACAAAAGCTGTATGAAAATAATGTTAATACGAAAATAAGGTTACGAAAATAAGATCTATTAGTAAATAAGGTCTGTAAAACCAATTAAAACCTGTATGAATTGATATTTATTTGAATATAAAACCTGTATGGAAATACTATATTTACGAAAATAAGATCCTATTGAAAATAAATCTATACGAAAATAAGATTTGTATGAAAATAATGTGTGTATTTGACTAAGATTTTTACAAATGTAAGATCTGTAAAATGAAAATAATATCCTTACAAAAATAAGATACATAAAAAATATCTACAGGTACGAAAATAAGATCTGTACGAAAATAATGTCTGTGTAGGAATAAGATTTTTTTTTATGATTTATACGAAAATAATGTTTATATGATAATAATCTGGATCGGAATGATATGAAAAACGACTCTATATGAATATAATGTCTTTATAAAATAAAATCTTTAACGAAAATAAGATCTGTGTAAAAATATATCTGTATGATAACAAAATCTGTAAAAAAATAAGACATCTATATTTTGATATGATTGGTGACTGTGATAAATCGCCAATAAACACCTTTAATGATGGGCATTAATAAGATCGTGTGCGAAAATCCAATAATCCAATCATCGTATTAGCGCATTGATTGCTGCCGACAGCCATGTGCACGTGTCATACGTTGTATAATGTTTTCCTTCTCATCTTGTCCGTGCATTATCTTATTAAAGCACTAAAGCAACAAAGCTATATACTGATCTTTTACTAAATGTAGATATTTTTATATTACACGTATTTTAAATTATCTTTTATTTTGGTATAAATCATTTCCATATTGATGTTTTATTTTCATATAGCTATATATCCTATTGTTTACAGATTTTGATCATTTTTTCGTATCATTCTGAAACAGATATTATGTTCATACACATACATTTGTATCATTTTCGTATTTCATATTCACAGACCTTATAAAATATTTGTAAAAATCTTAGTTGAAAACATTATTTTCATACAGATTTTATGTTTGCAGAGATCTTATTTTCGTGCAGATATATCAATTCATACAGTAATTTTTTTTATAGATCTTATTTTCGTATAGATCACGTTTTCAATAGGATCTTATTTTCGCACATATAGTATTTTCATGAAGGTATTTTTAATAGATAGATAGATAGATACTTTTATTTCCTCCAATATTTGAAGAGCTGAACAAACAATAACAGCAATTACATACAATGTACATAATGTAACAATACAAATATTCGTGACATCTAAATATATGAAAAGAATTTATATAGCATAATTGTGAGTGACTGTAAAGCTTTTTAGAGTGCGAGTTCTAGACGAAACGAAACTCTAGAAACTTCTCTCTGGTAAATGAATAATATATACTTCACTTAAAAACAACACTTGTCTATTATTCGAAAAGTTAGACAAGTTATCTGAATATAAGTGACATAAAACTGTAATTATCAAATAAATTATTATATATATGTTTAGCGAACAGTCACTCGACATTACAATATTAAATTATATATATATACATGTAATATAAAATAGTACGTGAAATATAGATAAGAATTATTCATTAATTATCAACTGATGATATATGATGAATAACTATCTGAACTTTAAACAAATGTTTAGGTTTACGTTTATGAAACAAGTTGTCGTTATAACAACTTTAGCGATTAAAGCGTATTCAGATCAAAATATGCATGACAAACAGCGCAAACAACAAGAACAAACAAGTGATAATAACAAACATAGCATCATTGTGTCACTGTTGCTACACCTAATCAACTGAACATTTGATAAATCAAACGCAACAGTAGAAAACGTGATTTTCTGGCACTCGCGTATGTTAAGTTTAAGAGCATGTCCATTTGAGTAGCTCTTGCTTGATTTATCCATTTCAAATAATAGTTTAAGCCGACGTCATTAATTATAGTGTTCCATACTGACTGTCTGACTGAATTGTTGACTTGGCAAAAGTTCAATAAATGGTCATTTACATCGTCACAAATATTTTCACACTTTTTACATAGTTTTGTAAACTGACGTGAAACTCTCTTTCCGGCAAGCATAACAGCTACGGCACACATGGGACGTAACTCTGGATGCACTGTTGCAATAATCCAAAGATCACACGGGTGCCCGGACTTTGGCAAATAATCAACATTTGATATAGTGTCTGAAAAGTTTTGGTTTAATCGTTCATTCCTCTGAAATTTCTCTGGAATTATCACATGTAGATGTAATAGTGTTTTCCATTGTTGTTTTGAGTGAAATATGCCGGTACTTATATATATATCTAGTTCATTAAGTAAATTGTATTTTTTGAGAAGTCTGTATATATCAGGTATAAAGCCAGATATTTGACCATCACTATTCAGGTACCTAGTTAAACGTTGTATAAATATTTGTTTGGCTAAATAATGGGCCGGAAGTCTACACAGCTGCCCGAAAAAGACAAGCTTTTTATAATCTATGATTGTCTCTATAGAGTCTATATCTAATGCAGAAAGTGAAAAGTCTGTACTTATTCCAGGTTTCAAAGATTGTATATTCTTTACACAGAAACGATGGGAAATCTCAAGTTGACGTATTTCCCTCTCAGCAAACGTGTGCCAGAGTTCACTCCCATACAATGCCTTCGGAATCACAACGGATTTGTAAATTGTTTTTAAAGTAAGCGGATTAATTCCATTCGGATGCAAACCGCTGTTAAGGACACTAATATACGTTCCTCGTAGTTTAATACAAGCGTCCTGGATTGATTTCTTGGTTGATAAAAAACTATTACAATTAATACCAAGGTGTGTATATTCCACTACTTCATTGACGGTTTGAGGACCTAATTTCCATCGGCGTTCCATATTTCTGTTTCCCGCCTCGTTAAACACAATCACACCACATTTGTTCGCATTATACTCAAAACGCCATTTTACAGAGTAATTATGACAAATTGACATCATTTCCTCCAAACCTTTCCTAGAAAAAGATACTAGAATCATGTCATCTGCCACAGTGGGTGCACATACATTCATATTAAACATACAAAAACCAAAATTACTATCTGTCAATTCGTTGATAAGCCCGTTTATGAAGATGAGATATAAAGTTGGTGAACACTTACTACCTTGCCTGGTACCTTGCATAATTGGAAAACATGCTGATAGGAATCCCTGGTTCCTCACACAACTAGTTATGTTTTTGTATAAATTTGAGAATGTAAGGAATGATGTCATGTCAATTCCAGTTTCAAGCAGTTTATACAAAAGGCCGTTATGCCACACTCGATCAAACGCTTGCTTTCCATCTATAAAACAAACGTAAAGCTTGCTGCTGTGCTCACGTGAATAAAATACACTCTCGCGCAAAATAAAAGACGTCATTAATGTCCCTAATTGTTCTTGAAATCCACCTTGTTGCTTGTTTATTGTCGAAAGTAATTTATCTTTACAACGTTCTAGCAGAACCATTTCAAATAGTTTAAGTAATAGAAAGAGCACCGAAACACGAGGCTATCTGATTTGTACGAGGGGGCGTAGCCCCCGAGTATAAATCAGATTGCCGAGTGTTTTGATGTTCTTTCTCTTTTGTATCATAGTCAAACATAAAAGCACGTTCCCTGTATCACAATATGAAACCCCGGCAAAAATGAACCAATGAACGAACATCTGGATATGACATTTCTGTCGCTTTCCCTTTCTCT